CTTGATTGTGAAGTATTACTGTTGCAGCCACCAGCTGCCTCAACAAATTCAGCCCTCTCATTGGCCTAAATCCCTGTCTGACCCACTTTTGTACCTAGATCAATTGCTGCAGGCTGAGGCCTGCCTAATAACAACAACCATGATCAAGAACACCAACCAACCCAACCCGTGATATGTACGTACGTACGTTCCCTGACGGAACCAACAATTACCTATAGCGCATCTGCAGAGAACCTGCAACACAGCTTCACTTTTCTGCCGCTGTTGGCCCCACTTGGGCCTGGGCTCTAAAGGCCCTGGACTTGAGGTTTTTACTGCTACCCCCTAATATCAATACCATTCAGCTTCCATTGCAATGAATAATGAGACACGGCACGGAAGTCCGCTATCCGCGAGGCCGTGCAACCACCGACGGTAACCTGATTTAATTTCCGCCAGGTTGGTCGAAATTCATGTATTAATAATAGAAAAAGACGCATGCCAAGCATGGTACGAGCCCAAGAGTACATATGGGATGGCTTGTGAAACAATGACGTCCTTGCGCGGTGGACACGCTGACAGTGCGGGAACGGCGGGCACAGGCAGCTCGGCGCTTTTTTTTGATGGGGATACACAGACCTTGGAGGCAGGCGATGATGGGACGGGGGCAATTAAAAAAATAATTTGCATGGGGCCAGTCTGTGATTTTTGTGATACTCAACATCATTTACTTTATCTTTTTTGTTGTTTTCTTGAAAACAACAAAAAAGATAAAGGAAAATGAAAGAAAAGAAACCGGTCACGATCATCGGCCAACAAACCTGCCCTGTGCTTTTCAATATATCGACGAGTGCTACCTGTTATAATCACTTTCTTGCACAGTCCTATAAGGAGGCGCTTTCGTTTAAGCTGTGAGCCTCGAGTGCAATTTCTCTTCTCACGAGAAGCCGACCGCTCCGTCTTTGACTTCGTGTCTACGTCCTCCACGTCTTTCTTGCCCTTCCAGTAGACGCCGGGCGCTCACATCCTGCACCAAGGGGGGTTACTGTGAACTCGTGTTGTCATGGCGTAGGTGAGTCGACAATAGTTCATTCTTCCTCGTCGACGATAGTGGCACGTTATGAGATGCCGCCGCTCGAGGGCCTCACAGCCCATGAACAGTCAATGTTACAAGATATGAAGATATATTCCACCGTAGCTCAAGCTCCAAATAACCAAATAATGTCGTCATCTCGAGTAGATACAATAGAATGCTGCTCTTCATCGCTCCCTTTGCCACTAAAGATAAAATAAAAAAAAGCACTTGCAATATGTACATGGTATAATTAACACTCTCACTCGTCTTCACACTCATGCCGCGCCAGATCGTCGTCCATCCGTCGCCGCCTTTCTAAACAACCTCTTTGTGCCGCCTACTTTGCCCAACTCTCCAAAACGCTTCGCGTCCTCCACGGGCGTCGTTCCCCTCGCCGAGCGCTCTGGACCAGCACCCGACGCCACATTCGCCGCCATGCTCGACAGCGGCGGCCCCGGGGGGTTTCCCATTGGCGGCATCTTGCGCTCGCCGCTAGCGAGACGCACCTTTTCCTTGACGCTTTCCACCCATGCCTTGTTCTCGTCACTCATCGTAACCTTCTTGCCCGAGGGGCCGGCGAGACCCAGGAACGGGCTGTCGTCCTCTGCCCAACTCAGCCGGGAGCCGGGACGCGATCGTGCAGAGCCTCCACCAGCATCGGACCCGGGCGTGTTCTCGACCGAAGAGAAGTGCAGTGTCGCTGCAGGTGTCTTGGGGCGGAAACGTGGGGCTTCGCTGCCAGACGCACCGATGCTGCGGCGGGTCTTGCGCACTTTGACCGGTGTACTCGGCGCGATGGTGACGGACGACACATCATCAAGTCGTGAGCCGGGGCGGCTGCTCGGGCTGGAAGCTTGGGCGATGACACTGTTGTTTGTGGAGCGACCAACTTGCGGCACATCACGCACTTCGACCTTGGTCTCCTCTGGCTTGCCGGAACGCCGACCGTGATGGCTGGCATAGTCTTTGAGATATTCACTGAGGTCGGCCCACCCACCACCGACACGTACCATGACACGCTCACCATCTTGTCCGACGCAGCGGATAAAGAGCTTGATAGGCGCTTCACCTGTTGAGCGTGACAAATGATAAACTTTAATCTCTTGCTGCCCACGGTGAGGACGCGGTGGGCGAAAAGCCTTGGCAGGTGAGAGCGTAAACGAGGGCGTCGCGGTGCGAGAGCTCACTGCCGATCCGCTGCGGCGGAAGCGATCTTTGGAGGGCTTCTTCTTGAGGTGCGGCAGCTGCAGATCGGGCGGATTGAGGTTGATATTAGGTGTATCAGACTGGAGGCTGATTCTAGCTGGGATGCCCTCGATAATCTGACTGATTTGATCGCGCAGCTTTTGGTCGCCAACGCTGTCTCTGTGTAGGGCAGACGTAGGGAGTGCGTCGGGGAGCGAGTACGTATCCTCATAGTCCTCCATAAAGGAGCTGTCGAGAGGGCTCTTGATACCCATGGAGTCATCAAACTCGGGTAAGCCAGAGTTGACCAGGGGGCTATCGACGAGATGAACGACGGAATCACGCATCTGGTGTTGATCTGGCATCGGCGGCGACAGCGGCGGCGAACTAGGCGGGCTGTCGTCAAAATACTCTGCTCGGCGAACAGGTCCTTTGAATGCGGTTGGTGATGCCGAGATTTCGGGCCCATCGCTCGACAAACCGTCAAAGTGGCTTCCGTAGAGCACCGTGTCATCGGCAAGGTCGCTAATATCGGCCATGACACTACTTCGTAGCTCAGGCAAGCAAAGTTCCTCTTCTTCTTCAACTTCTTCCTTGACAGGGCTCATAGTAGCCTGTGCAAGTTCATCTGAGGTGCGTTTCTGCTTCGCCGGTGTATCGGACTCGGCTACTACTTCACTTGCCATGTTCGGCATGGGGTGTCCCAGCACTGCGAGCGCCGACAAGCGGTTGTCCATGACTCGCTTTGGCGAGATAGTGTCACGCGAAGCCACCCTGTCTGCCAGGTTGTCCTGGATATGCAGCATCGAGATGTCTGCCGTCGTGTCATGATCAGTGTACGCAGACTCATCCTGCGACTTGAGACGATCTTCATTTTGACTGTCCAGAATGTTGCGCAGCCACTCAATCTCTCTAATCTTGCGCTCAGCAACAGCCGCCCACTCGCCAAAATTTTGCTCGGTCATTTCCATTCGCTCCAGCCAGTGGTCGGGGAGCGTGTCTTCGAGGCCTTCGAGGCAGTCCAGCATGTAGTCAAGGGTGCGGCCAGGCTTGGCGATCTTGCGCATGATTGAGCGCTTCTTGGGACCGAATGTTTCTTTGGTAAGTACCGGTTCCAAGGGCTCCTCGCCTTTGCCTCTCTCCAAACGAGCCTTTTCCTGGGCGAGCAACGAAACTTGCTCCCATGCGTCATCCATTATTCTCTCGGCATCCTCAATTGCGCCGAGAACAGGATTTATGTGTTGTAATACCGTGATGCGCATCGTCCATATTTGCAGTAAGCGTGTTAGTCGGGCAATGTTGGGGAGAGCCTGGACGACAATGGCGGTCACCACAGCAGATAGATCGCCCATTCTATGGTAAGACGGCGTAGCCGCATCGTAGTGGCCGCCCTCTGACACGGGCGTCGTTGATCGTGATATTGGCATGACGTGGATGGTCAGAATATGTTTTTTTATATCCTCCAACTCAAGCTGGTCCATGTCGTGATATATCTCTTCTATGCGGCGGGCATAGTCGGCGACTTGGTTCTGGGGCAAGCTCCCCATGTAGACTTCTTCTTGGTGTCGCTGAGAGCTTGTGGAACTTGTGGAAGAGCCAAACAGAGTGCGGCGCACCTGCTGCGCATCTCGCTCAAAGCCAGCGGAGCCACCTTGATCTGGCCATGTCCAGACGCGCATCTCTGTGAGCCATTCATATATTCTCTGCGAGGCGAGAGCTGTGCGCATGGCGAACTCGCGCTCGGCAGGGGAGGCGAGCGACATGCAAGCGCGAATGGCGCCCGTCGGGGACATGAGGGCTTCGACGGCTGTGGAGGGCGTAATATGTAGAAGTATGTCGTCGGAGCTAAGCTTTGATCGCGCCGGCGAATGGCCAAGAGATTGTCTCTTGGGCTTGAAAAGCAATGGGCGGTCGTTGAACGTTGTCATTGTGTCGGATCTGTATGGTAATAATGCAAGCAATCGTTAAAAGAATTCGGCACTGTGTTCGAAAAAGCCTCGGGCAGTCGAAAGTTGTTGTAAATGCGAAAGGCTGTCAAATCATGTCCGCTCACTCATGGGCCTGGAGAAGATGCAGTCGCTACTATGCAATCGTTGAAGCCAAATATGCACATAGTCAAGAAGCCGAAAGAAACGAGAAGCAGAGTTGAAACCGCAAATTAGAAGTCGCAATTCAGCCACTGGCAAAACAAAAGCAGTCTTTGCAGTAAAATAGCTTGAGCTCTAAGCGTGACGACGGGAGCTATTAGAGTTGAGAAGTGCGTGATGGGCGTACGTCTGATCCTGTGGGGTAAAAGAGCAGAGGAATCCGGAGGTGTATCAGTCGACTTGATCGCTTGGACAGGTAAACGGGTGCACGTCGTTGTTTTTCGCCGACAACAGCTATCTGGGGAATAAAACAAGAAACGGAGCGCAGCAGTGCCTAAAGCTTCGCAGGGAAATGTCAAAGCTTCCTGGCTTCGCCAAATGTGCTCTTTTTTTTTGGAGCCTGAACGATGTCCACACCACCAACGAAGCAAGGGCGTGTCCGGGTGTCGTTGGGCAGAGATGACGGCGTCGCGGTGGGAGGGGCAGCTTCTGCGAAGCGAGCCCACGAAGAAAAAGTTGACTAGTGTCGTGCGAGTTGAAATGTGATGCCGCGGATAAGGTGATCCAAAGGGTCAGGGCCAGTGACGGATATGCACGCCAGTGACAGCAAGGCAGCTGTAAAGAAAGACCAAAAAAGCAATTAAGGTATTGACCACCAGTAGTCTCCTTTTGCTAGCAAGCTGGCCCGAGACACAATTTCGCGCCAAAAGGGTACGAGGTAGAGCGGGCGGGGGGGGCAGGCGCTTGCGTGATGTTTCCTTGGTTTTCAATCAGGTTCTTGCCTGATCGTCTGATCAAAGGAAGCGAGGAACAGAAGAGTGGTCCAAAGTTTTGTAGCTCGCTCGTTCGATTTTGCTAAGACGCGTCTCGCCACCCAGACTAAAAACCGGGAGAGACTTGGCGACGGCGGCGGGACAAGTTGGACGTGGCAGGAAATCTTCTTGGTGCGGGTAAAATTGTGGCGGGTGGATTCAACGGGTTGAAAGTTCAAGTCGAGCAAACAAGATCGGGCAAAGAAAAAGGAAGACTGTATAACGATGGCGAATTAGGAATAACAGAAAAAAAAAATTGAATGAATGAAGGACTGGTTTTGATGCAGAGAACAAAAATTGGTAGGGGAATATGGGAGAGAAAGAGATGTGATGGCGGAGTGAAACAGACAGGGGACACGAGGCAGAAAATATTAAATGACAAAACTTATTAATGACTGACTCTGTCTGGGCCGCCTACCAAACAGGGCCGGTCTGGTCGTTGCAGGCCAGGCCTTTTTTTTCCCTTATCTTTGCTTCCCCCGCACAAACAAAAGTTACGCGTCAAATGATTTGAATACTAGCCCGATTTTTATTTATTTCTTTCCTAATTCAATCATCAGCTTTCGCTGACCCAACAACAACCTCTCTATTACAGCGGGGGGGACTTGTCCGGGTGCACTGTCCAGGGGTCGGAGAGCAGCCGCTAACTACGCCATCGGTGGAGCGCGTTATGCATGTCAACAATGCAGCGCGCCGTCAATAATTGAGATGGCAAAGCCGTACCAGTGCAAAAAAAGGGGTAGTCTCAAAAAGGATCATCAGTTTTCTGTAGCACAATGCACAACATGTTTGTGAAGATAGATGAAGAAGAGAAGAATAGCTAAAGTGGTTGCATTTGCGACAATCCATACATACCCCCTTTTTCCCCCGCCTCGTCCCCCGCACCTTGAGTGCAATTCACGGGAATTTGTTCAGTCCCTTGATCGTGCTCCTCCCCCAAAATAGCCATCATCTGCATTCCATGCTAAGATCTGGGGGGTGAGGGGGGGGTCAATTTGACTTTTAATGCAGATAGGCGGCTTGATTGCACAACAGTTGAGATGATAGCTCAAGCGGGTGCCTGCATGAATCGGACGGAACCGATGGACGCAATAACCTCCTCTTGGCCTCTGCATCTGCACAAACAAATACAAAAAAGGAGAAGAAACGCTTTTACCAGATTTATCCGCAGATGACGCGAACTGGTGGGTGAGCTAAGGCCGTTTCCTTGATTTTCGTGCATATTTCGCCAGGCAGAGCAAATTGCCACGCGACGCCACATCTCTATGACCTGCAAACGCACGTGCTTTTATTGAAACTTCAATATAATAACAAAGACCACGCGTGAGTCATGATTATTGTTCTCTAGCCGTAGCTTGATTATATTTGATACGGTTCAAGTTGCAGACCTGTTTCATTCGCTCTTCGTTACTTTTACTAAATCCAAAAAGCACGCTATATTGTTTATCTCGTCTCTCGCAATAGTCTGATTTCACCTTTCTCATAAGATGCACGACGTAGTTATTGGAACTCAGATGCTGTTGGTGCTCGTCCACTAGTTACCGCACGAATTGTGAGAGGAGTGCCTGGGGGAGGTTTGCCTGGAACTATAAGCAGACCAATCTACAAGCAGACTACTCTCCTTCAATTCCCCAACTCCAACAATAAAACAACACTCTCACCCACCTGATTTACCACACCTAACGAGTGCTCGTGACCAATTCTAGCGTCTTTGAAATTCTTTCCATTCCAGTTTAGAATCTATTCTTACATTTTACGTCTCATCTTTTCATAACTTCATATCCTCCGAAAATTTCCCTTTTATGAAACCAATATAGACAAGACCACCCAAAAAAATAATTCCAAGCCCAAATCAGAAAACTCCATCCTCTGCCGGGGAATAAAACATTACAAAACTCCCCACAATAAACGCCATCATGTAAAATCACACCCAGACAAACATGCAAGCCAACCAAGCACAGCACGATATACACAATTTGCTCATGCAGAAGCCTCAATGCCCATCTTGACATCCTCCATCGACGTCGACCCCGTCGCGTTGTTGCTCGCAAAAACGCCATTCATCATGTCCTCGCCCGAAGCCGGCTTACCAGCGTCGGTTGGAAACTGCAAAAACTGGTCCACGTCAAAGTCGGTGCCCGCCACCGCGTTCCAATCAAACTCGTCGTGGCCCTCCATAAAGTCCATGTCCATCGGGTCTGCCTCAGTCAGCAGCTCCTCCGATACCCCGCTGGCGCTGGGCGTCAGGCCCGTCGCGTCAAAGTCGGTCTGCGGCGGCGAGTGGGACAGTTCCAGCGCCGCGGCATTGACAGTGTTGGGAGGTAGCATGGCCGTCTTGCTAGACAGCGCCTCCTGCAGGCTCGCCGTCGTCTGAGACTCGGGTGGCGGCGTGTGTACCGACAGGCTAAACGGCAGCCCGCTGGGCATCATGTCCCCGGCCGCAGCCTGGTTGATCTGGCTCATTTGGTTGACCAGCGCTGTCGCTGCCGCGCTGCTGCCGTTACTGCTGCTCCCGGCGTTGCCCGAACCGACGCTAATGTCGGCCTTGCGCAGCGCCGCGTCGAGGAAACCCGTGGCGTAGTCGGCGGCCGAGTAGATTTCCCGCAGCTTCTCCATGACACGCATGCACTGACGGAAGCCGACCGTGGCCCGCTCGCGAGCGCCCTTGGATGAGCTCTTCATCTCCAACAGGTGGATAATCATGGCCGGCAAAATCACCGTCACGCCCGTCGTGGGGAGGTACTTTTCCAGCCGAAGGTCGTGCAGCTCGGTGACCATGCGAGTAATTTGCATAGCCGAATCGCGCACCTTGACGCGCGACATGTCCTGCACCTGGCGCGACGTCGTCGGCATCTGCGTCGGCGACGAGGGGAGGAACTGCGGGCGATGAAGGGCCGAAATGGTGGTCTGGTGCACCATGTGCAGTAGCGTACGGTGGACGGTGACGGTGGAACGGCCACCCTCGACGTCGGCCTCGTTGAGCGGACGATACCGACAGCACTCGGGCAGGCTGTCGGCCCACGCACGCAGCTCCGCGTCAATGGTGTCGACGGCATCGACATTGTCAAACTTGTTGGGAAACAGCATCATGGTGCTGTTGGTTGTGTTCTCGGGCTTCATGTTGTCGCGGATCAGCACCGAGTACTGCGTCTTGAGCATGTGGCTGATGCCCAGGCAGAGCTTGGCCTTGTAGATGCACAAGGTCGCTAGCTCGCGCTGCATGGCCGCGTCGCGGATCACGACGCAGTCACGGGGCAGCAAGTTGTTGTTGTCCGCGAGCGTCTGAATCTCAAAGTCGCTTTCCGTCAACATGGGCACGTCAAAGTCCTCATCCTTGATGCGGGTAGGTCGGCGCATGCCCAGGGCAATGAGCCTGTCTCTCATGAAGCAGGACCACCATATGCGCTTCCAGAGCTTGCGCTTGCCGTCGGTCATGGAGTTGGCACCGGGCTTGCGATGCAGGCCGATGGTGTGGGCCAGCGAGATGGCCACGCCCATCCAGTGCCAAGTGTCTTTTTGGTCATCAGGCGTCTCATACCAATAGGTCATGAGCAAAAGAGACTGCACCAGGACCAGGCGGTCTGACTCGTAGTCGAAATCGTACAGTAGCTAGTTTGACATGTCAGTAATGGGTCTCCTTGTAGCAGCGAACGTGGATGAAATGCGGGGAAGCGCAGTTTCAATCCTTCATTAGTGGCTTGCCTACCCTTGTCTTTTGGAAGAAAGCTTTGCGAGCAGCCTTGCGACTCGTATAACCGGCTTCGCGGAGTTGTTTCATATCCACCGAGGCGGTGGCCGCAAAGAGCACGGCGTGATACAGCAGCAGGCTCATCTGGCCATTGAATCCGTTGCGGCTGTTGACGATGGCGAGGAAGGGGTGCAGGTCCATCAGCGGCATGAAGGGATGGATGTACTCGACGTAGGCCTGCAACAGGGCATTCTGGAGCGGGATGGCGGGCAGCGTCAAGGCACCCTTCATCTGAAGGTAGCTCACATCCTCGGGGGTGATCTTGCTGGGCAGCGGGCGCAGGAACGGCGGGAGCTGGGGTGCGGCCTGGGGCGCGGCATGGAATTGGAAATGATCGAGCGGGCTAGCAAGGCTCGGCGTGGCCGGAGCGAGGCCCGCGTCGCCAAAGAGGCGGTTGGGGTTGACGGTGTTGCTGTCGCCGCCCCAGAAGCTGCTCGGGGTCGGGCTGGCCTGGCTGGGGTCGATCGAAGCTTGGCTCAGCAGGTCTGGGCGAAATCCGGAGCGTTGGTCTAAGATTGGCGCGTGTCAGTCTCTGATTGAATCTCCCCGTCACGGATTAGGTGTTGTGGTGAATTGGCAATGGGGCTGCAACAGCAGACTGAATCAAGCTAGCGACTTTCACATGTGAAGATGTCGAGCATTGATGCATCTTGGCTCTCGTGACTTGAAAAGTGGGGATGATGCGAAGTGGCGCAGGGGGGGGCAGAGACGGGTGCCCATGGGGGTGGGTGGGGGGAATCATGCTGCGGGATGAGTATGGCGGGCTGAAATATTGAACAAAAAAATTCAAGGTTAAAAAAATCAAGGGGGAGATGTGCGGCCTGAAATTTGCTCGTCCATTCAATGCGACGATGTTGGCAATGCGACAGTTACCAACACGGTGTATGGCGTAGTGACGTAAACGGGAAAGAATGCAGTGCCAAGCGCCAACAAATGAGGAAAAGCTGATCAAACTTACAAATGAGATGGGGAATATGCGAGTCCACCATGCAGTTGGGAAAGGAACCGGGCAGCTGGCTATCGATGCCCGTGCTGGCCGTCGTGGCTGAAAACGCAGACGCCGTACTCTGGCGTCGCGGGTCATTTGAAGCCACGGGCGCGACCGTGATGCTGTCGGCCGCATTCGCGTAGCCATTGCTGACACCTGGCGACGCCCTGTCGTTGGCGTTGCTGTTGCCATTGGCGTTGGAGTTGGTGGTGGCTGTCTTGCAGCGGATTTGGGCCTCGGCTTGGCTGTTTGGGCCCACGGCATTTGCCGTCAAGGTGCTCTTCCTGTGAAGAGAAAATCTGGGTCAGTGGATCGGAGCATGGGACAAGTAAAAAAAAAAAAAAACTCTGTGCGGCTGTATGAGTGAGGTGAGCCCGGCCCCCCGGGACCCCGGAGGGGCGCCCCGCTTCGGAGGCCGTAAGGTACTAGTAAGTGTCTAGTAACGCGCAGGGTAATAAAGAGGGTAAGAAAAAAAACAGGACTGTGTGAAGGGGGGGGGGAAGGTTGGGGAAAGCTTGGCCACCCAAGTTGCTAGCGTGAACGATTCGAGCGTTTTGCAGAGATGCGACGCCATCATCGAGTCTCTCCGGGCCTCCGTTGGCCCCGTAAAACCACAAAGGTAAGAGAGGCTAGGCAGCCGCACAGTAATGCGAGAGACGGCCGGTAGCCTTTCCCCTTGTCTGCTCTCAGTTTTTCACGTGGAAACGCGTGGCCGTTGGGGTAAGGGGATATTGTGTGCAAGGATCGGGATTGGGGTAGCAAGGGTAAAGCGGAATACTTACTTGCGCCGACGGCTCTCTTGGACGATGCACTGCATAACATGTGTTAGTATTTTGCTGATTGTCGTGTTTTTTTTTTGGCGCCACAGAGATGTAAAAGATGGGGGATTTCTAAGACACAGCTTGCAAGCAAACTGAAGCCATAGAAAGACGCTCCCTATTGTCTCATTGTGCTCTCCTTCGTGACATGTCCCGACGTACCTCGACATTATCCCAGCGGCAGTTTCCACAAGGTGCGCCCTCGACCACGTCGCAGCGGACCTTGCGTGCGCGACACGAGACGCATGCGCGTGCGGCTCTGCGCTTTGTGACCTTGACGACGCCGCCGCCCTCTCCGCCGCGCTTCTTGGCCGAGTTGCTCTCCGTCTTGACCAAGGGTGGCGGGGATGGCGAGTTGCTCCCGATGGAGCTATTGTCTGTGGTAGGTGCCATGTTTGTGTGTGTTTGTGTGTGTGAGGGAGAGAGAGAGAGAGAGGCGTATTCGCCTAATAGACGACGCTGATTTTCTTCGAGTGCACTGTAATTTGGTGGTGCGAGCTTCACCAAAGGGCGAGAAATTGGTGGGCAAGAGAGTCGGCGTCTCCTGTTGAGCAAGACAAACAATTCAAGAAAAAAAAATTGCGACGAAGCTTGGACGCTATTTTTTGTTGCGGAATTGTGAAAGTGTTGTCGCAGAAAAGGCGGAAAGACAAGCGGAAGTTGTTTCGGCTTGTCGATGAGGGATGTTGATGAGAAGACCAGGCCGGATTGTGTCGCGAATGCAAAGTTGAAGCTGAGCAAAATATGCGCAATGATTCGATTGGCGATTCTTTGACCTGAACCTACAGCGAAAAGAGAAAATTTCTGACAATCAATATTCGCAGTCCACAGTAAAGGGGGACGAATAGAGTCTGAAAAATGGCAGGGCGTAAGTGCTTAGTGGTGTAAGATGATGTCGTCGAGGGGTGAGACGGGTGGCGTGTGTGAGTTGTAGCTTTCGGGAATATAGGCGGCAAATGAAGACCAAGCCTGCCAATGACGAAAGGGTAAAATGAAAAAAAGGAAGAATGAGAAAAATGAAGATGAGGATGAATCAGGAGAAGAGTTTTTTGCAAACCCAGAGGCGGCAGTTTGGAAAAGAAATCCGGGGTCGGAGAGTGGAGGGGGAGGGGGGGACAGAACGGGGTGTGGAGGAATATTATATTTGGTCACGAATTGTAAAAGAGAATGCTGAGACGACGCCAACAGGCAACTACAAAGTCAATGTGTGCACCTTGACGAATGAATGGTATGCCCTCCACTCTTGTTGTTTCCTTCTCCGTTGTTCCCAAGGAACCTTACACATGTACTTGCCGCATGGTTCCGTCAGCCAGCGGGCGGGGTGGAGACGACGCTTGCAACAGCGACGTTAAATACCAGTTATGAGTTAGCTTGAGCGGGGGGAGGGAGAGAAAAAAAAAGGTTTACCAGTAATAGAAATTGATTAAAAATGGTGAAATGGGCAGAAATAATCAAATAAAATAAAAAGGCTTGGTATTGGCAGCGGGTGCGTTCTGGGGGCGCGCTACGGGGCTATGGGGCTACGGCTGCGGGGTGGCAGAGGTATGAGATTTTTCTCACTGCCTTTTTTATTTTTATTATTATTTTATCTTATTTGCTCAATTCTTGTCCTTTTTTAGTACGTCCTTGTGCCTTCAGTGGTAGCTGAGCACACAGGTCTGCGTCAGTATGTAGGCGTGACGATTCCCATGGACATTGTCTACAGCTTGTCAAGTCCCTGCAGTCTTGACGGTGACGTTTGATCTGGGTCACACCAAAGAAAACAGCACCTGAGCATCTGACCCGTTCCAGTCAGTTATTAGTCCCGCAGCGCTCTTTTCTTTTCCTGGGGCAAGGGCAAAAAAAACCGATGAAACCAAAATATAATAAAAAATATCGAATAAAATAAAACACCAACCGAGCCGCTGAGCCACTCACAGAGCCACCAAATAATAAAGATTCAAAGGCCGCCATCGAACTCTGACCCGGACAGGTCAAGGCTTGCTCTCGGCGAGCTCCATTCCTTGCTTGCCTTTTTTCTTTCCTTCCTTTTTTTTCTTTTTCTTCCTTTTCGGTACCTGCCTTTGCTAGTTTCATGGGTACGTTGTCAGGTAACTTTACACACAAAATCGGTTGCCCCAATTGTCCCAGCTTTTTTCCCCGGCTTCTCCGCCAGACCTCTATTTTTCTTATTAGCCTAACTAGTTAGTTACCACAACAAGTACAACCAAGCAGCCACACCTCGCTTTCATCAGATCAAGTACGAGCAGGCTCGTTCCCCACATGCCATCATCGTCATCATCATATCGGCTTTATGTATGCCCCTGCTGACCAGCCCCTGCCGGTTTCTTCAACTGCTCAAGACAATGAACCTGTTGAGTCAGAAGCCGCTCAAGGCGTCCAAATAAAAATCTCGCATGCGTGCACATCATCACGGAAACATGTCCTAATTCTTTCTCCAGGTTCTGCATTGGCAGTTGCGAATCCGGGGGTGGTGGCTGCTTGCACGAATCATTTGTCCTGATCGCCTCATCAAGGTTTGGGGCTACGGTCGCTTCATCGTACCACGGGCCTTCAAACGGACAAGGATTTCCTGGGGCAAGGCCACGCCTTCTGCCGTCTCAGATGACTTGCGACTCTCAGACATTTGCCCAAAATTGACATGTGCGCCAACTAGTCCAGCCTCGATCCCCCTTTTTGCCTACGTCAATGCGAATGGAAACTCTACTTGGCCACTTGGCCACTTGGCCACTCGACCATCCTTGGCGTCATGAGAATTAGAGTAATAGGCGGCCTTGGCCAAAAGCACCAATTACATTCCAAGACTGGCGACTGGCGAAGTAACGGATTTCCCTCCTCTCTCTCTCTATATATATATATATATATTTGTGAATTTTAAACAAGACGGAACAAACTCGCGGCAACCGCCACACGTTACACGTTACACGTTCAAAGCTTACCATGATATTTAGTTTCAGCGCTTCGCTTTTTGCTGTATATCACCGCTGATTAATGTTGCAACTGGCAGTGGATAGCGCCTCGTCTAGCCTCCCTGCCGGCCGTAGTTAGTCTCGACGTTCTCAGCTACGAGTACGAATAGAGCGTTTACTGCCAGCTGCCCCATAAGCAATTGCTCAGATCCTCATGGGTTACCCTTTTTGAAATAGCTAGCCAACCTAACTTATTAGAGGGATACCCCATTCTCCATGATGAGGCTCTGCGCGCGCGTGGTGGAGAGTGGAACCCGGCGGCTGGAAACTCTCATGCTTCCTTCCTCTGTGCTGCATTGACGGCAATTTTCACCAGCAACAACCAGCAGTGTCCAAGTCTCTGCATATATTCTCGTCTGACTTGTGCATATGAATCATCTTTTCCGAAGAGAATGGAACAAAAGACAAGAGACACAGCGAGAGAGACGAGAGCCGTCATCTTAAGCACAGGACAGAATGTGGACAATATTCATCACGTTATGACCCATTCCATCGCGTACGAATATGGACGTGCTGATTTCCAATGTGCCCCTCCATCTCCAGAATATTTACGCAAGTCGCCGCCTTGGCGCTCTCAGTCTCGCTTCCCGCACACATCTGTCTGCTTGTGCTGTGTTTGTGCGGAGGAGGTGGGTTTTGCCTCACAATTGACTTTTTTTTTATTCTCCTTGCAAGCGTGCTCCGCCGCCTGCACCATTTCCAATGACTAGACGACCAAATCCAATACATTGGACAGTCAAACCCTCAACTGGCCTCGAGACAGTGACTATAACCACAAACGGCATAGAGATGACGCTTCTTTATATAGTGCACCGCATCAAGCTGGCTGCTTTCAGAATCGCCATTTCACACTTGATCGATACCGTCACCTTTGTTTCAGGCGGGATTGATTGATTACTCCAGGTCCGTAAACAGCAGGGGGTGGTTCGGAGAGTCGTCCGCTTCGCCTCGTCTTCTCATCGAATCGACCGTGACTGCGGACAAGTCTAGATCGTCATGGTTGGCATCGGCGTCCCGGTGGAGCCCCCGGAGCTCCGGGACACGCTATTGTCCGTGCCTCATGCTGTTGCTATGTGTCTATTTGTACCTCTTTGTCCCTCCCATTCTCTACTTAGGAGGCTCTTTTCTTTCGAGAATCGACGTGTGTCCAGGAAATCACGGAAATCGCACTTCAATTGATGTATAGTCTACAACGACGTCCAGGCGGCCGTCACATTAATCCTCGTGCCTCTTTGCAGACTCTTGGATTCGAGAACCGTCAATGGGATGCAACTGGCTGCCGGCGAGGATCTGCAATGCATTGAAAAAAAAACAGAAGCAGGGAACCGATATTTCTCAAAGACGTAATCCCCAACAGAAAACCTTTCTGGTATCAAGTGGTTCCTTCCGTCTGAATATCGAGTGCCACGGAGAATAGGGTCCCCCTCCCCCGCCGGTGGGTAATAACGTGTGAGAAGGAGGCGTTGAATAGTGGGAAATCCGCACGTCGTCCTCCTGGGGAAATTTCTGGAGTGTTTTGAACCATGGCTATGTACTTGGCAACCGTGTTGGCGAAGCTTGTCGCCCTCTTCACATGTCAAAGATCATCTCGTAATCTCTCTTGGTCTTTAAGCTTCGTCGCTTTCCCCGCCTCTCTACCCCAACAAACCCGCACGGTGTTTATTCAACGAGTAAAAAGCTAGTCAAGGAAGAAAATGTCCGTTTGTCAAGCACAGAGCCTTAACCCGCCCCCTGCTGGACCACGCCAAGTTGCGTCCGACTATTCACATGTATTCCAATGTCAACCGCCAACCCTTTGGCCATCTAAAAACTTGGATCGGCGTGCCAGGATCGGACTTTTCCCCAGAAACCCCGGGCAACAGCCCCAAGCCCCAGCCGCATCTCGCTAAATCACAAGGAGATAAACGCCGCTAGTTGTGTGAGTGACACTTTGTAGTGCGCCAGCACACGATACAACGAAAAGGAAAATACTTCCCGATCGGGCATGCTACCCAAAGCAGAAAAGCCCATTGCCAGCGAAGCAAGTCATTGATTTCGATGCTTGCCTCCTTTTCGTAAAAAAAAAAAAGAAATCAACAACGTCCTGCATCTGGGGGCGGGCTGATTTCAACCCCCTGTCTGTAAAATATCTGGGTGGTCCGCGTGGCTCTACATGGGACGGGAGGAGCGGCTACGACGGAAGACGCGGGAAGCAGTAGGAGGGCTGAGGACGAAGGGCCTGGTCATCGTCAGCCCTTCCCACTTCCTTCATCTCCGTGATTGGTGGTAGCCAATCGATGGGATTCATTTGCGAGAATTTCAAAGACGAGAGATTTTTCTCGTACTTTTTCGTGCATACGCCGCATTACTCCCTGTAGAAATGGCTCCTGCTGAGGAGCTGGCTGCTTTGGGCAATGAATGAATCATAGGGTAGGTAGGTGACGATGTTGAATATTGGACCCGGTAATTACAAGCTACATACATGTCCTTTGTCTGCCGCAATTATTGCTTACATTGTTCAGGACTGCGAAGACTGTAAAGATGACGCCTCTGTGGCGCTATTCTGATGTGTAAAAATGCGGCCCATTCTCATGCAAACTGAACACTTTACCGACCCGTATTCACGGCGTCTGCTGCGGTGAGGCACCTCCCGATCCTCCCGGCTGCCCCGACTTGCTGCTCTCCGGTCGCTCCGCCGGACTCGCGGATGCGTGATAAGAACGGGCACGCTCGCTGCATCTGCGCTGTGTCCATGCCGAGATGCATGACGGCAAAAGATGCATCCTGCAAGCTGCATGCCGGACCCTCCAAAGACCATGCTGCCCATAATAAAGAAGAAAAGTGATATATTCAATGAGCAAGTAATTCCGCGGGCCTGCAGGCGCACGAAGCTCTATTTACATGCTGTAAGCCCGTCGCCTGTCCGCGGACATGGACACTCGCCGAGGGACGACCGGAAGATGAAGAATAAATTGCTGTCAAGACATTTTCTGTCACATATATGCATTGGATCATGTATTATTTTACGCAGTAGGGAATTATATTGAAAGGAAGGACACCCTCGTTTTACGAGTGGACCTTTGCTATCCATGGATGGATGACGCTTCGGCTTTTGGTAATGCCCTACTTACCGTTCGCTGCTCGTCCCCCAGACGGGGGGGACCCAACGGAACGGCCCCAGCCCAAGACTTTAAAAAAGATAAAAAAACAAAATTCCGGGCCTATGCAAACGGTGTATTCATGAATGTAGTAAAATTGATTATTGTTTCTCATTTATTATTATCATGAATAAATGAGTACTTTCAGATTTATCCCCCCCTTTCACTCATCCTTGCTACGACTTGCCAACCTTCGCCGAGCTGGATTTTCGGCTTTCCGAACCAGAAGCCTCGGAAAACGAGCCGCCGAACCAAAATGTCTTTGTCGCACCACCACCACAACCACCATCCATGAAAGCTGATATGCCCAGTCTCCCATTCGTTGTCTCCCTTCTCCTCCTCCTTTTACTTTTCTGTTGGTATGAGGATGTTTCCACTTTTCCAATTCCTCCTCATCCCCGATGGGTGAGGTTCAATCATTCATCTTTTCTTGTCATTCATGTCCGCTTTCACTGATCCCAGTCGGCGATCTCTCACTCTATGCTCCAAGCATCGAAAGGACGGCATGGAGGGGGGACATACCCCATGGGGGGAACATGCCCCTCTTTTGAAATCATGGACACTTCAACTGCAAAGAGGTTCTTCTCCTCGGCAGAGTTTGTTTAAAACAAATTACAGCAAGGACCAGGTTGCAACGGCTCGGTGAGCATGGGCTTGGACTGGAAATATGTCCTGGCCTGCATAACGGACCATTTCGCATGCTACGCAGATCCTTGGGTTGGGTAAGAAGGGGGAGGGGGGGAGGGGGACTTACGGCCGGACTGCGACTGCAGCATCCTCTCTCGCTTGGAAACGGGTTGAGTGAGCATGTCGGTATTGTTGGCCATCAGATCAACAACGATTCAGGGGATCACGGCGTACTCGCGACCTGCGTCACGCACGGCACTCTGGAACATGGGGGCTGCACGGACAGCGAGCTGTCACGCCACCACTCAATCAATGCATGAATCCGAGGCGGAACGGCGACTCTTCTTGCTTGAGCAGACCTGGAAGGGCTGTTCTTCACCAAGCATCTTCTCACCATAACAAAGAGCAACGTTTCCCCCACCACCTTCGGCAAGGCCAGCTGTGTCGACATCACCAGCTTTCACTTTGGAAATCTACAAGTGCAAAACCTGCCGTCAGCAAGCTCGTTCAAACTATGTCTACACCATCACATGCGCAACAGAACAGTCAACCGAGATGTGGCATTGGCCGAGTCTATTCGATGGCTTCCACCAGTATCCCACCAGGATAATGCTCGCCATGTCCTGCTTGCTTTGAATCCACGCTCAAATATGCCAGCAGAAGAAAAAAGAAAGAAAGAGAAAAAACAAAAATTCCGCGATGGGAAATGGTAGTGTCATCGAGACATTGCACTGGAAAAGGCTCAGAAAGAGCGACATGGCTTCTTGGCCGTGTGAGGAAAAAAAAAACATGTCCAACGCCAATCCGTTATAACCTCGCATTATATCACTCTGCTCGCACCGGTTTTCACATCAACGCTTCAACTACATCCGGCATTTACAGGCGGCTGCTGTTAGCGTCGTTGAACGACTTGGGCTCATAGACGCGCTGGCGAATGTACGATGTCAGGGCAACGTCACCCCACTCCTCCCACTCATTCCAGAGCTCTTCGGGCAGGGTAGAAACACCCTCACGGCGTGCGGCCTTCATAACCTCGCGGGCAATGATGACGCTGGCCTCGCGCACACGCTCAATGCGAGGATAGATGAGCCCCTTGGCAAGCTCATCCGCATTTAAGCAGTTGGCCAGAGCAGAGGCTGAAGTGTACACCATCTCGTCGGTTATACGAGTGGCCTGAGCCAGGATGGCACCGAGACCAAGACCGGGAAACACATAGACGTTGTTTCCCTGGTTGGGGTGATATGTGATCTCGTTACCGTTGGGACCCGCGACGGTGAGGGAAGGAAAGGGCGAGCCAGAGGCGAAGATGACGGAGCCATCAGTCCACTCGACAGCCTGCTCAAAGGTGCATTCGGCCTTGGTGTGAGGGTTGCTCAAAGGGAACAGGATGGGCCGGCGGTTGGGGCCACCGCCGTCGACCGAGTGCTTGAGAGCACGGATGCACGACTCTGTAAAGACACCATATGTGGCAGCCAAACCGACAAGAGCGCTGGGGCGGACATACTCAATGACCTCCTCAAGCGTGCGGAATTGCTGCCCTTGGTTGTCAGTACGGGCAAAATACTGCTTGTGCTCAGCAAGGTGGTCACCACGGTCCTTGGTTACGAGACCCTTGGTGTCTACGAGCCAGAAGCGGTCACGGGCCTCGCTCTGACTGAGACCGCGCTTGGTGTAGTACTCGACAAGCTGCTTGGCGACACCAACACCGGCGGAGCCGGCACCCATGAAGACGAGGCGCTGGTCCTCAAGAGGGACGCCCGACAGGTTGACGGCGCCAATGTAACCACCGAGAACGACAGCACCAGTACCTTGGACGTCGTCATTGAAGCAGCGGTGGGTGTTGCGGTAGCGGTCGAGGTAATTGAAGGCCTTTTCGCTCTCAAAATCCTCAAACTGGACCACCATGCTGGGATAGACCTCCTTGACGGCATCCATGAACTCATCCATGAATTCTTGCTGAGCAGCCTTGGAGACACGCTTTTGGCGGAGACCCAGGTACAGAGGGTCCTTGAGGTTGGACTCGTTGTCGGTGCCAGTGTCGAGGACAATGGGCAGAGTCTTTTCGGGGCTGATGCCGGCAGCAGCTGTGTAGAGCGAAAGCTTGCCAATCTGCAAGTGTTAGCGCGCGATACGAGACAACCGTTGGATGCTTGGAGCTTACGGAGATGCCGACGCCATTTACGCCGAGATCACCGAGACCGAGGATACGAGAGCCGTCGGTAACGACGCAAATCTCGGGGTCAGTGCAGGGCCAGTTACGAAGCATAGTCTTGATGGAGCGACGTTGCTTGATGGAAATGTACAAGGCCTCGGGGCGAGTATACAAGGTGGAATACTGCAGGCAAACGTCGCCGATGGTGGGTGTATATACGAGAGGCATGAGCTCACGGATGTTGTCCATGAGGAGGCGGTAGAAGAGGTCGATGTTCTGGGCCTTGAGATTTGACAGGTAGAGGTACTTGTCAATGCTGGTCTGGCGCGTCTGAATCATCTTCATGGCGCGGATGCTCTGGGTCTCGAGGCTCTCCATGGTGTGAGGGATGAGGCCGGTCAGGTTCTTGGCGACACGCTCCTCGGGAGTAAAGGAAAGACCTAATCGGAAGTGTGTGAGCGGTGAATGGCTGACAGCTGAGGGCCTAGCTCAATAGGACAAGCAGGTCCAGCACAATGACGGCGACAACGAAGCGACGATGAGAAAAACAACATACCCTTGTTCCAGTGAGGTTCGCGGATGATTTGGTAGCCAGCGGCAGCAGCCTCGGAAATATACTGGGTAGGCTGAGTCTGCTTGACTTCGGCGAATCGGTCCTGGGTATAGCCCCGGTGTTGATCCAAAGCTGTCATTTTCATGGCTTCTTGGATTGCAGAAATGTCCACTGCACTCATTGTGTTTCGTTGCGTCAGCCTCTGAGCGGAAAAAGATAGTCTCGAGGTGGATGTTTGCGATGCGGAGCGGACAGAGAATCGGGAAATGGAACGACCAGATTTTCTGGAGTCGATGGAGGAGAGGGATGCGGAGCGAGGAGTGGCAATGTCGGACGTGTCTGTGCTGAGGGGATACGATGAAGCCATTGGCAGAGCAGATGCACGCGATGGGAATGAGGATCGACGAGCAATGGGGCTATTTGCTAGAGCGGTTGCTAGAGCAGAGAATCTTGAACTTGACATGACTCTGGGACGCCGCGGGCGGGGGATGGAAGTTATATGAAGCTGGAGACGGTGACAAGTGGAGCAGGAGAACAATGCGAAGCCACGTCAAGGCCGTGAGGGAGAGTGAGGGAGCAGTGAGGGACGGTCCGTGTTGGAGGAGTTGGCTGAAGCTGCAGATGGCGAGACGCGGAATAGCGCACACGCCACGGGGCTACCTGGTCAAGGATGGTCGAGGCCAGATGCAATGCGAGCTTTTGGGATGGAGGGGGTGTGCGGTCGCGAGAAACGAAGCCAGAATGGACGTTTGAACAACTTGGGGGAGAAATTCAAAAAAAAAAAAAAGAAGTGAGGAAAAAATTGTGCGTGGAAGCGACAGCGGTGGCAGAGTGAGGCAGAGCGGCTGTCAATCGGAGGGGATCCAGAAAAATTTGGAGTAAGAGTTGAGCTGACCTCCGGTCGGGAGGGTGGGGGGGGGGGGGGGGTGGCGAAGAGAGAGAGAGACAAGCCCCCCAATGGCACCCTCAACAAGCCAGCCGGGACGAATAGGAACAACAAGGAGAAGACGGGAGGATATGGGACATGGATGAGGGATGAGAGATGAGGGTTGTTTTGGAATCGAGGCAAAAAGAGACCGGTCGGCGTACCTAAAGAGTTGCTGGTCGAGGATGATGTCGAAGGATCTCGTCTGGGCGACGTTTCAGGAACACGATCACGCGCGTATTGACTCGTGTCGAGTGTAGCAGAGAGCACGATGGCAATGATGACACCGCAGGAAAAGAGTTGCAGTGCCAGTGTAGATGAAAGTGTATTATTTCCTTGTCCTGCGTTTCGAAAGATGTGAAAGCGAGTTTGTAGGAGGGGAAAAAGTGAAAAAGGTTGCGAGGGAGAGCGCGCGGGACGAGGAGAGTATAATAATGTATCGTTGAAGGCCGAGCAGCCAACCCCCAAAGCAAGAAGTCTTTATTTAACTATTGAAGCGGGAACGAATACCAGCAGAGCAAAAGTCAGCTCCGAAAGCACAAAGGAAATAGAAAGAGTCACTTGTAAATTTGGAGAAGGACGACAAAGAAGCTTCGAGGGGGGTGAGGTTAGAAAGTTGTTGGTGTATGGAGTCTCATGTACGGCTTACCGTGGTGGTTATAGAGGCGCTTCTCCGTGAGTGTTTTGCAGGCTCAAGTACCGGTACTTGGGAGCCGGGCAAAGTCGCGACAGGCTAGGGACGGGCGGCTCCGGGAGAGCTTGCTCATTTCAAGCATTTGGAGAAGAATGGAGTCCTATTATTTTGTACAATGAATTAATTAGAATGATCTTATCCACATAACTCTTTTCGCTAATTTTTTCAACAACTCTTGTCCTCATAATGATTGCTTTGACCACGTTCTGGCATGTCGTGTGCTGTTTTTAACCCTGAGCTTACAAGCCGCAGTAATCCGTACCTGGTACCTTTCTACGGATGCTGCAACGACGATCAAGACCTTTCGCGTATGTATGTAAACTTGCAAATAATACGATTATCAGCCCAAAATTTACCTCGAATTAAATCATCACACGTATTACAAAGTATCTTGTTAGGTGCCTCAGCTGGTCAGCCCCAGCCACCCCCTCCCCCCATGTCTCGCTTGCCAGGACTGCCCTGACAGTTCCTGTCTCTGATTTCCCTCTGCAGCCTGTACAATGGCCGTATGGCCCTGGACATTGCTACCACTCTGTATTACCTCTTTTGGCAGCATACCCCATGTAGTTTCTACAGTGTCTCTACCTGGCATCTACGAAATGTTTACCGAGACTAAAAGGCCGTGATAGCCGGGCCGACGTGGCAGTTGCAATTTTAGGGTGCGCATCGAAAACAAAACAAAATTTGCCAACAACAAGAAAGAAAAAGGTACGGCACAAAGAGGCGGAAATGCAAAAAAAGGGCCAAGACGCCACTGTAGTTGCGATGGCAGCTCCCCCACGCTCCACTTGTCCCGGCCTAACCAGCCTTTTCACTCGGCCGTCTCCAGTGTCCGACGACGGTGCATGGCCGGAGGGCTCCTTGAAACAATCGGAACACGGTTCAATCTGAACAATTGGTAAAGAAGAGAGAAGGAGCATCATCGCTGACACCCGCAGTAGAATAAATCAAGTCAAACCGTAATGTTCCTTGAACGGCTCATCTCACTACTCAAGCACTGGCCTCTTCATATTTCCCCTTTGGCGTTTGCTCTCCCTTGCCAGCTGGCGGCGCCTCCGTTTGCGTGCCCGGTTCTTCAGCGCCGTCGGGCATCAAAATTCAGCATCACTTCATCATCAACATTGGCAGGCACGATAATATCCAGGCTCACGCCATCATCCCAGACCTGGCCCTTACTTCCCCTCGACGCCACCCCCTGCGCCCGTCGACCAGACGAAACACTCGCGCCCCGGAGCACCATGCCGGGTGCTTGGTAGCTGATACGTGGCGACCGGAGCTTTTAGCCGCATCGCAAACATGGCAAACATGGCATACATGGCATATCCCGCCATCAGCGTTTCGAAAAGGAAGCCTGCGACATGGGAGCAGCATCTTGCAGCTGTCAGTCTGACAATTCCCGTGTTGAAGCCGCTCCCGTCCTACTCCTGAACAGGCCCGATTCGACAGGCAATTGGTCGTCGACGTGGACCCTCTCTGTATGTCCAAATGCTGCCAGCAGACCAACTACCCATCAAGGGCGCTCCATTCGATGGTAAAATTCTCCTTCCTTCTTTGCACCTTCGAAACCCATCTTATTTCGTCCAGGTTCCATCTACATACTCCCGATGCTCCACAGGCCTACCGCATGGCTGCCCTGTGCCTGATTTGGAGAGCTGGGATGGGCTTCTGCTACTAAACCACTGGTCCTTCGTTCCTTGCCACAATTATTAGCAATGCATCTCTGACGAACGGCGAATCCTTCGTCTCGGTCTGTCTCTCCTATACAACTTCGAAACTCCTATATCAAGCCCGGCCCTAGCTTCAAGCTTCAACACCGTCATCGTCTAATTAGAGCAAACATTCATTACAGCACTTATTCCGGTGTCGGGGTCCGTTTCGCTAGCGCGGACCCGCCGTCCTTTGGAGAATTGCTCTGCGCTTCGCTTCGCCTAGGACGCCCTGACGAACGCCGCCCAACAATTGCCCAGCCCAACCAAAGTATTGCTTTGCACTATTTAGCAATTGGAGAAGCCTTTCCACAAAAATTGGGGTCATCTCCGTTGCACAGCGACGCCAATGCTTTCTTGTGCGACGTGCGGCCAGGAACAAGAAAAAGCATCGCCTTGGAGCGGTGTGCTCTCCAGTAAATATCGCAAGGAGCATTTCTCTTATTCGAACACGGCTTGCCCACCATACGCCGAGTGCACGGCGCAACCTCGCTGCGACGCGGCAAATCAAACACATGTCGCCTGAATACAGACCCTGCGTCTCCTGATTCTGCACAATGGTCAGCCCGTACCACAAAAATGCAGCTTATTTGGCATCAAAACTAATATTAACAAGCTCTGCCGCGAATACGGAGCAAGCAAGAGCGTCGAAAGTTGCCCACCCCAAAATGTCACATTTCTCCAACTCTAGCTTCCGACTTCATCCGACAAAATGGGGAATTCTCATGCGCCCCTGACGCGCCCCCAAGCCGTGCTAGTTTCACGCCCTCTGTCCACAGTGGACCTTCCCCAACGTCCAAGGCTTTGGCTCACCAACGTCAAAGTCGAGCATAATGCCATCACCAAACCAGCAGCAGGCTTGTCCCAGCCGCTCGCGCTTGAGAAAGCTGTTCTCGCTGCCGTTGAAGCTTGAGGGCATGCGATAATCTGGGTTCTCTGGCCCACACTCCTCTCGCCCTGCATCAGCATAGAGACATTGGCAACGGAGACCGCAAGTTGCTGGCACCCGAGAGTTGTCCAACGTGTGGCAGCACCGCGTCTGCACTGCAGGGATTCATTTTCGTCTCCCTGCTCGCTCTAACGTGCCATTGGGCTTGCACTTTCTGACTGTCTGCTCAAGCGTCTACAAAGCTTTCGCGCCCTCTCATGGAGTCGTGGCTTTTGCGACTGACACATTCAGACCTCAGCATAGCCAGAGATTACACGTGGTAGCGTAATCCATCAGCAGAGCAGCGACTGAACAGTAGTAATACAGTATTGGCATTACCCCCATGCCACATTGATTTAGCGAAAACGGTTCGGCAGTAGATCATACGTGGCTTGTCATGCCACGTTCACGCACACATTGCTCGGCATTCGTCAGTCGACAGTTGCCTTCCCTGCCCGGCTTGATATTCCCGCAACGTCATGCAATTATGTGGCAATCTACGCTTCTGTTTCAACTAACACCGGCTTGAACCGGTCCTTGTTCTGTCCCGAGATGCATCGCTGCACATTGCACTTGTCAGGCAGCGCCGATGTTGAATACTTGATACGGTCAGTGACTCCCTACAAGCTCTGACTCTGCTCTCTGCAGCACAAACCACGAATCTCTTCTTTTGTTCACTCGTAATATGTTACAATTTATCCGTCATATGAACAGAGTACACAGCTCTGTGCTAGAGACCCATGAGAAAAAAACGCTCATCTATTCCCGCGTCTTTCCGATCTCGGTATTGTTGGACTTTGTGTGGTTGACCCCGGTAGTCATTCAGAGCGCGCCGCTTCCCCCGCACACACGCACCCGCACAAGAGCAATCTCATCATCACCCCACGCTTATCTCTGGCCGCCGCCAGTTCCTCTTTACCCCGGCTATTCTTATTTACTGGTCCCCTGTTTCCCGAAACAAAGCCACTATTGATGATTGGCTGACGCTGCGGGTGACTCAGCTTCTGTTCCCCAGGACTTCTGTTGCTGCCACGCCGTTCGGCTTTGACTTATCACATGAGAAAACGGAACCGATTTGGAGGGGCAAAGGCCAGCACCATCTGCCGTGAGTCAAATGACGCCCTGACGAGATTCTTCTTTAACAAAAGTCTGTGTCAAGCTTAGTCGTGAGCAGATCTCGCTACTGGCCCCCCGTTCTTCCCCTACGTTGATGCGCTTACCCGAGTGCCGTTAGTTTCGCTCCCATCCCGCACATTGGCACATGTAAATAGATTCTGCTCCACCAGCGCTTGTGCTTTCTCTCCTAGATCCTCATGCCAAGTCGGTCCATTCTCCCCCCCCCTCACATTTTGATCCAAAAAGCACATGAAATTCGCATATGCTCAGATCTTGCCGACATCTTCCCGACAAGCTCCCCTTTCCTCCTCCACTACCCCCCCGGTCCCCAAGCTCATTCATGACCAAGAAAACCCCGTCTTACAACCTCGGGAAAGAACCTGTGCAAACTCCCCCTCACATGTAGCTGCTTACCCCAATTTTCGACGAATTAATCCCGGAGAACAGGTCGTCTCATTGCTCATGGGCTCTGGGTCCCCGTCAGTCCGACCGGTATAGGAGCGCATCGTTGGAGTCATCCTACGAGTTTTCTTGGAGCCATGTACCGGTACTTTTGACGATACTTGCACCTGCTTCGAACTTTTACACCCCCTTCCCCGTCTTTCGGACTCCAAGTTCTCCAACAGTCAGCTTGCATCACTCATACACTTCTCAGCACGGCCTGTCTCGCGTCATAGTTTCAGTAACCCTGCTGGTTTTGGTTTCTTGCTTGAAGTTGTTAACCGCAGGAACGGGAATGGAATGCTCAGTCCCGAGGTCGTGACTGCAGGGCACTTCGATTTTCCTGTTCTAGCTGTATGCTGCATGCTGCATGCTGTATTTGCAGTGCTGTCAAAGTATCTTGCCTTCCTACTTCCTTGTGAAGTCTTATTTACATTAGTAAAGGAGCTTGTCAAAAACTCTCAAATAGCTACCCTCTTTGTCCGAGGTAAAAACAAATCGCCTTGGAATGCCAACATGAGTGTCCTACATGGTATCTTGAAATGAAACGCAGTAACCTTTTCTCCCCCCTCTATGCAAAGCAGAAACAAGTATATGTCACATAACAGGCAAAACGCACATTCGTCTCATATCTTGCTCTGAAGAAGAAGGTAACAGTACCCCGCTCGCTCCCTTCTCCTTCAACTCGACAGCAGCATCTTCTGCGTCGCGCGCTCCAACTTGCTCATCGTCGGCTCATCCAGCAGCGCCCACCAGCGGCTCAGCCCCATCGCATACTGCGCCTCGGCCTCCATGACGTCGACTGGCGGGCCTTGAATTTGCGGCAGCACCGCGCTGCCGTCACCGACCGCCGCCCTGGCCTTCTCGTCAAACACGGCCCAAGCCGAGGTGTCGCTGACACGTAGACCAAAGCCGCGGCTCTTGACGGCGACGACGGTCATTGCGCGTAGCAGCACCACGTCGCCGCGGCGTACGACGGGCAGGGACTGCTGATGGGGGCGAAAGATGTGGGCGACGTGCACGCTCAACGGCGCTGACGACGGGTCGACGAGGAGCAGCTCTAGCATGTAGTCACGGGGCCCATTCCGCGGGCGGTACGGCGCCGCGGGCGTCGCCGCGGCCACGGCGATGACGTCGATTGTCTTGTGCAGCGATGTACGCAGTTGTCGGAGGGGCAGGTTGTCGGGGAGCGTGGTGCGCAGGTCCCGCAGCAGCAGCAGCTTGAGCTCCGATGCCGTCGTCGTCACCGCGTCGTCGTCGCCGCCCGGCGACGACGACGCGGCAATAGAAGGGGCTCCGCGGGTCCGCACGATGGTGGGCGACTCACTCGGACGCCGCGCGCTGTGCCGGTGCTCCTGGTGCAGCTGGAGCTGCATCTGCGTGCTCGGTGTCAGCGGTGTGCTGCGGGCGGGGGAGCGCGTCCCCGCCGACGACGCGTCGTCAAGACGCACACTGCGGACCGAGGCATCCGGAATGACGAGGCCCTCGCGGAGGCCCGCCTCTGCGATATCCTCCATACTGCGAGTCACGCGCAGCGTAATAGGCCGCGAGGGCGTGTGTTCGCCAGACCTGGGAGACGCAGAGGAGGCGGCGCGGCCGACTCTAGCAATGGCCACACTAGGGTCTGCCCGGTCGGCCGTGCCGCGGCTGCGCGTGATGCGGAACGAACGCTGCAGGAGCGGCGTCCTATCGCTGCTCCTGTTGCTGCTGATGCTAGCTGTGGGCTCGATGGATGTGACAACAGTAGCGTCATTGTTCTTATCAATAGACCGGCTGCTGTGTCTGTGACTAAGCGGTGACGTCTTGTCTCCTTCGGCCTCGATCTCCTCGCCGGCGTGCTGCTTGGCTTGCGAGCGCGTTCGTCTGCCTGTTTCGGAGACTGTGTCGCTGCGCTTGCGACGGTGTTCCTTGGTGGGTATGGGTAGAGGAGGTGGGCGGGGCTTTTTCTTTGGTGAGATGTCTTGCTTTGGTGAAATGTGCTGTAGAAACTCGCCCATGATTTGCTGGCTTGCAGCCAAGTCATCATCATCAACTTCTTCCGCGTCCTGCCGCGGCCGATCCGGCGTGGCTTGGACTGTTTCGACGTCCGCAGCCTCACTGACAGTAAGCTGCGTGTCGATTGTGGTAAGCAGCTGTTTGTTTTCGGTGGATAGTGCTGTGCTTGTGCTGGCCGTGTGGGCAGTAGTTTCGGCCTCGACTATGGGCTGTTTGTCGTCGAATTCCTCTGGCAGTTCGCCTCCAGCAGACGCCTTGGGTTCGCACAATTGCTCATCATTTACTTCAGCAACCTCTTCGGTGATCCTGGTAGGTCTCTCCGATGCCTCGGCAATTGATCGGTCTTCTGTCACTCGCTCGCTCTGTTTTGTGGACATCTCTTCCGGCGCGACTTCGACGGAGTTCTCGGAAGACGTAATGACTTCTTCCGGCTCCTTGGCGTGCATGTCAACGTCAGGCTGAGACTGCAGTTCGTATTCGACCTCTTCGGGCTCTTTGATACCCATATTGACGTCAGGTTGGGATTTCATCTCGTCTTCGACTTCGTCCAGGTTCTTGCCGTCCATGTTAACGTCGGGTTGAGATTCACTCTCGTCTCTGACTACTTCAGGAGCGTCCCTGACTTCCACGTCCCCATCTTCATCAGAGTCTTTAGTCTTGCGATTGACATTCTTTTCGATCTGAACAGAGTCAGACTCGACGTCTTCCTCCATCGCGTCAGCATCTTTTGGTTGCTCGCTTGCTGCGCGTGAAGGAACACGCGAGATTCGGTCATTCAGTTGCCGTTCAGGCTCCGCCATGCGAATCAAAACAACTTCGTCGCGGTCGTCGTCAACATCCATCTCATCGACAGGTTCCTGCTGCTCCTCGACATATTCCTGCTGCACCTCGACAGATTCGACGTGTTTTGCTGGTGACACTTCACATTCGTCGGCGACCGGATCCTCTCTTTGCGTCCGATTTACAATGCCGATCTCGTCATTCTGCTCATCTGAAGGAGCATTGTTGGCGCCTTCATCCACTGGACTGCTCTCCATCACTTCCTGTCGAGGGTCAGACTGGAGAGCTTTCGGTTCTAGAGGTGATTGTTGGCGGACATCATCGCCGTCCTGGATATCGTTTTCGGGGAGGTCATCAGTTTCTTCACGTTGGCTAGACTCTGACGAGACCGCCTTGGTCTTGATGGCAGGTGCGGGAGTCTGTGCTGCTGGCTGGTCATCCTCAGAGTCTGAGAGGAGGTCAATGTAAACGGGGGTTTGAGAAGCCGGCTTGGCTCGAGTAGCAGGTGTATCTCCTTCGTCTTCAGAATATTCCTGCTCTTCTTCATCCTCATTCTCATAACGCTCCTCCTCGTCTTCTTCATAATGCTCATTTGGCCCGAGATCTTCATCGTCGTAGCCCTCGGCATCCTCGTCGTACCCTTCCTCTTCCTCGCCCTCTTCGTCTTCGTCTTCGTCTTCGTCTTCCTCTTCCTCATCCTCATCCTCATCCTCCTCCTCGTCTTCGTCTTCGTCTTCATCTTGTCTTTCTTCATGCTCGACTTGCTGTCGCCTCCAGGGTGTCTCACCAGCATCTATTTCATAGTCTGTGCCCTCGTCCTGTTCGTCATCCTGTTCCTCGTCCTGTACCTCGTCCTGTTCCTCGTCCTGTTCCTCGTCCTGCTCCTCTTCCTGCTCCTCGTTCCGGTCCTCGTCTGATTTTACATATTGGGCTTCGACAGGGTCTTCACTTTGGCTATCGATTCGGCTTTTGAATTGTTCCTCTTCGCGAGCGGCCTGGCTTCTCACGTCACTAGTCATCTGACCAATAGTACGTGAGAAATCAAATGCATGTGTATTAAGCTTTTCGGGATGGTCCTCTGCATCTTGTATCTCTGGATATGCGTTGGCCTCGTATATGTCCTCCTCTGCTTGCTCCGGGGCAGACAAAGCTGCTTGAGGAAAAGGTTCAACAGCGAATGGATTGCGGATGTTAGGTGGAAGTGAAAACTCCGTCGTGGTAAAATGTGCCTCTTGATGGACTTCGTGGCCATCAGCCATGTCATAACCTGTAGCGATTCTGGAGTACGCTTCGTCAGCCGTCACATCGAAAGCCGGCTCCGGCTGACCGGGTACTCGCTCTTCGGCAGCCTGGCGGCTTTGTATCGATTCTGCCAGGGCATCATTGAACACGGGAATGCTACTTGTAGACGCCATTGTTGTATGCTCGACGGAAAACCCAGAATTGCCAAAGGAGGATCCGAATATAGCGCTTTGTGAAGGCGTAGATGTGGTAGTAGGTGCGGAGATATTTGTAATTCCGCCAAACAGTGGCCGGTTCAGCTGAGGAAATGGAGAAACTGCCCCGTCCTCGACAGTGGAAGGCGCATCAAAGGCCGGCGCTGTAGCATCACCGTTAGATTGCTCCTCTGGTTTTCCAAACGTCATCGGAGTAGGCGACGAGGGGATTAAGAAGGCAGATTCGCGGGTCTGTTCCGCAATCTTAGACGCAAAGGACGTCTCTTGCGTTTGCGAGGTTTCATCCACCATGGTTGGACTTTGTATTGACTGCGCCGCAGACTCGATCGGCTTGACCACCTCAATGCCATCTTCTGAATCGCTGTCCAGTTCGCGTGTCTTTGATGACTGCAGCTCTGGACTGGGTGATCGGCTGCTATATTTCCACCCTGTAGCCCCCATGCTAAATCGGGTACGCTTTGCCTTCTTCTTGTTCCTTTTAGCCACATCCTCGTCGAAAATGTCGAATCCATCCTCAAAAAGTGATCCGTAAGAAACGCGCGCTCGTTTGAGGAACGCGGGCGATGCATATTCGGCTGGTTCGAAAGCGTAGGAGGCCCGTCGCTTCGTGGACAAGGCGCCCGGTGTGGATACGACTTCTGTAGCAAACAGTCCCGAGTGGTTGAGCGGTGACGACTCCTGCGGTGTGAGTGTGGCCAGAGGCGCGTCGTTTTCGTTTGCGTCGTCCGCTATATTCAGATCCAGTATTTCCGTTTTCTGGCCATCTGCTCTTTGGATGCGCATAAGCAGCCTTTTGGTAAATTTGAGCTGCCACTCCAGGATCGTGCCAGGGACCCGCGTTTGCGACTTGTGCTCCTCCCACTCGGCGCCTTCGAGCGAGATGCGCAGCCCATCGCCACCCCCGACGCCCGCATCTGCAAGCTTCTGGCCCAGGTTACCGTGAAACTCGATGCGCAACTGACCGCGTGCGTGTCGAAGACGGAAGTCGTGCTCGGCGAGGATGAAGGCGGCGGAGCGGGTGACAATGCTATAGGGCCAAGTTATCGTGACGACACCATCGATGACGCGTGTTTCTCGATCGGAGAGCCCGGGGTCAAGCTGCGCGATGGGTGTGGGCGTCTGATCATCGAGGACGGCGCTTGCTGCAGAGACGGGATCTGGCGTTGCAGCGTCAGCCATCGCAAAGATTTCGGGGAGCTCACGATGGAGCTTGTGGCCGGGAAGCCACTGGCATCGACAGGTTGGATGGGACAAGGAACTTCTGATTGAGTTTTAGTAGATTTGTCTGCTTGTGCCTGAAGAGGACGTCGGTAGCGTCGGCTTTCGTGGTGATTCTGAGATGATGAGGGAGAGAAGCTGTGGTGGGTTGGGTTACTGCGCTGCCAAAAAGGAAAAGGCCATCAAGCTGGCTGGCGCCAAGTCGACCCTGCGTTTGGTGCGAGGCAAACGAATCTGAAAATCTTGCTGTCTATTTGCATGGATTTCGGAAATTATTTTCCCAGTTTCATTGAATGTCGTGCATGTGTATTATTTCTCTATTGCTACAGTCATCTATTTCCCTATTGCTACAGTTGTCTTTTTCCCTATTGTTACCGTTATGTGTAAATCAGCCGCACATGATAATTAAGTCATGGCTGAGAAAAGGCATCGATAAGCCTTATCTAGCTTTATTTATGGCAAGAGACTTTTCTTACCTGGTTCCCACCTATCTAAATAGGTAGGTAGGTAGGTAGTGGGCAACTTCCAGCTGCCTGCTCCTCTGCAACCAAAAGCAGAGTAGAAATCAACCGCAGCTACTTCCATCATAGCAATCATAGTTCTAAAAAGAAAATGACAAAATCTAGAGAAAATGAAGAACACAGGTAGCAATTCGAATCTCGACCCCTCATTACCCTGTCCAGCTCGCGACAAACCTTTGACGTGTAGATGCGGCGGGTCGCTCTCGCGCCAGTTGCAATCGCTCGCATTCCCAGCGCCCTGCGCTAGCATAGCTAAACGCAGCAATTTTTTTTCCCTGCCCTCCACCAAGTGTACCTGTTGTCCTTCGAATCGAGGCTTGCGCCTGCTGGAAACTGAAACCTTTTGATTTTTCCCATTTCTGTGTCCTGGCGCTTCATTCTTTTTGCAATTGCGATTGCACATTTACTTGCCATCGTTAAGCCCTCGGCTACTTGTTGCAGTTGCAGTTGCAGTGAGCGTTGGCCAGCGTGGTGCCATTGTCTCAAGCCATCATCGAACGGGTCGCCTCGTCGCTCGTATGCGCCGGCCCAGAATCTCCTTCAAGATGGCCTCTGATATTGCCCGCGACGGCATATTTGGTATGCGCAACTTTTCTCTTACCCCCGGCTGAGGGTCCTGCTTGCCAAATACTAATCGCCCTGCGCTGCTCCCTCTAGCCATCAACAAGCCGTGCGGCGAAAGCTCTGCGCAGGTCATCCGCGTCTGCCAGCAGCACTTCAATCCCTCCACCTTTTTCAAACCCATGCTCGACAATGAAGTTGCCCGCCGTCTTAAGGAATCTGGCGGCCAGTTCAAGCGCCGCAGGCAGGAGAAGCGGGCGACTCAGGTCAAGATGGGCCACGGCGGCACCCTCGACCCTCTAGCGACAGGCGTCCTCATCCTCGGCATCGGCACCGGCACCAAGCACCTGTCCCAGTTCCTCGACTGCACCAAGGCGTACGAAACGGTTGTCGTCTTTGGCGCCAGCACCGATACCTACGATCGCGTCGGCCGCGTCCTCTCCAAAAGGCCCTACGATCACATCACAAAGGAAAAGCTAGAGGAGGCGCTCCAGTCCTTCAAGGGCAAGCAGATTCAGATTCCCCCTCTGTACTCGGCTCTCAAGATGAACGGCAAGCCCCTGTACGAGTACGCGCGCGAGGGCAAGCCGATTCCCAGGGAGATCAAGGGTCGCGAGGTCGAGGTCCTGGATATCGAGCTCGTCGAGTACTACGAGCCAGGAAAGCACAATCACCGCTGGCCAACCGAGGAGGCATCCGCGTCGGAGCGCAACCTGGCCGAGCAGGTCTGGAGTATCAAAAAGTCGCAAGAGACGGCCAAGAAGCTCACACCCGAGGAAAAGGAAGCGGACGATCAGGCGATAGCAGCTCACGAGTCGTTCAAAAAGAGCTTTGACGAGCGCCAAGATGACCTGATTCGGGACTCACCAAAGCCGTCCCGTCAGCGCAACTCCAAGGACGCCATGATGTCTGGCGCCCTGGGCGCGCTCCCCCAGGCCGCCACGCACTCAAACAAGGGCTCCAACCTTGTGCAGCCCGCGCCCGACAAGAACACGCCACCTCCCTGGAAGGACGAAGGACCCCCTGCGGCCAAGATTAGACTCACCGTTACGTCTGGATACTATATCCGCAGCTTCTGTCACGACCTGGGCACCAAGCTCGACTCGGCCGGTCTCATGGCGGAGTTGTGCCGCACGCGACAGAGCGACTTTACCGTCGGCGGCATCAACTGCCTCGAGTACGCCGACCTGGCCAAGGGCGAGGCCGTCTGGGGACCCAAAGTCGCCGACATGCTGGCTCGCTGGAATGGCGAGCCCGGCGGCAACTGGACATCGGGCGACGTCAGGACGAATGGCGCGTCGTCGAGCAAGGCTCATACACCGGGAATAAATGGCAATGGCCCGGCCAGTCCCGCCAAGACGGAGAAGCGACGCCGCTCTCCTTCCGAGGACTCGCCCCGGAAAGCGGCTGCCCGCGGTGACAGTGACAGCCTGCGGCCAGATACCCCTGGCCGTCGACGCTCGGATAGTGACAAGTCATGGAACGGTTTTGAAGGCTAGGTCGGCCGCGGGGCATTACCATGGTTCGCGATTCCCGCAGAAGCGGGCACAGACAGCATGATTGGGATAAGGCGTTGGGTGAAGGCAAACGATATCAAAGCGGACTGGACTGCGGCATACTCATACACTGTACATATATATTTGCGCTATCTAGCTGGCTACTCCGAGATGACTAAAATTTGACATTTTTCCTCTCATGCATTTCACATGCAAGTACATGGGCAAGGCAGAAGAATAACTTGACCGAGAGCTTGCCCATGCTGCCGTCGGTGAAATGAGGCGAGCAAAACGAATGTTCTCTCTCTTCATCGCCAGTCCCTTGCTATGCTGCCGCCAGACGGCATCTACAGACGCAGCAACAGATGCAATCGTCAGGACTAGAAACATCCGGCTCAAGCTTCGAAAACATACACATGCGTCGCTATAGCCAGCTTCATTTGCTGTTTCTACGGGTTGGAATGCTGCCAATTTGGGCTGCTTACATGTACTATTTGCCTACACTCCTGTTGACCGACCAGATACTCAGAGTGTTTCCACAGAAGAGCGCCTCTTACGTGAACGATTAGTCAAGATGTTGAACAATGTTGCGTCTGTTAATCAGTCTATGCTCTCTAATCAGCTGTTGAGCCTCTGTATGTCGTACTCAAGTAAACATTGTATTGCACTGGCATAACTGGTGACTTTGATCGCCTTGAGGCAACATGCTCTACTTGATCAAATTAGTCAGGTGCACTGGTTCTTGTGTATCAAGCTATCGACATTCGTAATGGCATGCAGTGCGGAGTAAACGAGTGATGTCATTCAAATTGGGTATTGTGCAAACTTGATATTAGACAGCGATGGTTGCTAGCGCAACCATTCGTCGATATGTACAGATATGAAACCATTCCACCACCCACCCCCCTTTTCCTCCCCAAAGAGTCAGTCCAAACCCGGCTTCCAGCCACATTTAACGCTTCGGCGGCGGCGGAAACGTCGTCTGCAGCTGCCTCGCCGCCACCGGGGCGGTCACGTCCGTCTTGCTCGCCTTGGACCGGATCAGCCCGCCACCACGACCCTGCTGCCGCGGCTCGTCCCACGACGGCTGCTTGGTCGGCGACGAGCCCGCGTGTGCCGTGCCAGAGGTGGTGGTGGTGGTGGACGGAAACACCGAGGTTTGCCCCGGGGCCAGAAACGGCGTCGCCGAGGTGGCCGACGACGGCGTCACGTAGCTGTCTGGCGAGTACGGTGACGGCGACGGCGGCGACGGCGGCATGGTCGTGGTGGGCGCCGCCTGTTCCGGCTTGGCCACGTCGTCCGGCATCGTCTCCGTGTCGGTGACGGACGCATGCTGCTTGTGGGAGAAATTGCGCACCGAACCAACAGGCGGATGCGAGCGCAGCGCGTCATTGTACGCCTTCTTCTCTAGAGTGCCGTTGCGCTTTTCATCCGGATAGATGGCAGTGGCCGTCGGGCGTACCTGTGGGTGGTAGTGCTGCTGCTGTTGCTGCTGCTGCGGCTGAACGGAGCTGCCGTCGCGGGAGCCCGGGGTAAAAGGACTGACATTTTCGGCGCACTGAAAGTCCATTGACGAAGGGCCATGGCGGCCGTTTTGCTGCTGCTGCCGGGCAGCGGCGTACTCGAGGGCCGACTTGCCATCGTGGGGATCGCTCTCCAAGCGACGGCGGCGACGGCGAATGTACAAGAAGACGGCGCCGCCGAGGAGCAGCAGCCCAAGGAGCACGCTGATGATGACGACGGCGACGAGGGCACCCGTGGAGAGGCCAGTCTTGCGGGAAGGGGATGGCTTGTTGGGGTCGACGATGCTAATGGTGCGGCTGTCAAAGAGGGTGCCGTTGAGGGAGAGGTGGCCCTCGGACCCGGGACGCTGCTCGCAGCCGGCTTGCAGCGCGACAAAGACTGTAAGAATGTTTGGTTAGAATGTGGAATCTGATGGATGGCCAAGGAGGGCTAAAGGGGGAAAAAAAGAGAAAAAAGACGTACAGTTGGCCACGTAGCCGTGCTCTCTGTCAGCCTTCATGCAGTCGAGGCACTTGCTAAAAGTGCCGCCAAAGCTTGAACCGCCTCGGTAGCTGCAGTAGTTGAAGGGGTCGGTGCCGGTATTGTTGGCGAGGTTCCTCCTGACTGTTACATTGAGGGGACCGCAGGCCTCGCTCGTCATGCACGGGTAAGGACCGATGCCGTTGCCGTTGGGGTATCCAAACACGCAGTGTGCATAGGCATACTGGAGGTTATCTTTATTGTTACGAATCTCCAAGTCAGTAAATGTATTAATGGAATGGAAGTTGGGGACAAAAGACAGGGAGAACAAAACAAAAAAAACTTACATATGAACCAGGCTTGGTCATTCTGGGAGCCTTGCGAGTAGGTGCTGTTTTGGAGGCAATTCATGCAGCGTTGAAACTTTTGCCCTTGCTCGCTGGCATAGTCCCTGTTGGAGCAAATGATTTCGTTGTCGCGAATCTTGGCAACGCTCGACGAGTTGGACGGTCTCGACGAGGAGTCGAGGCAGAGGGACGCGCAGGGCGAGTCTGGCGTCACTTGCAAGGCTGTGGTGACGGTCGCCATGACGGCCAAGAAGAGCACGAGGCAGCAGCAGCGTGCCGAGCTTGGCATCTTGAAGAGTGCCATGGAACTTTGGGATTCTCACAGCTCAAGCCGAGGTTGGAATGTTGTTTGTTGCTTCAAGTTCTTGTCAACTGCGTAGTGTAAGAAAAAAAAGTGTTCCAGCCACTTTTTTCTCAAGTCACAAGATACAAGTCAAAGTGTTCGTGTCAAAGGACGGAAGCCAAAAGGAAAAGAGAAAAAGACAGCAGCGACTGTTCTCCTTGAAACGCTAATGGTAAATACGATTGAAAAGGACAAGCCAGGGAAACGAGGAAAGAAAAAGACCAGAGCAAGGCAAATGGTGCCCATGTAATACTGGTATATAAGATGCTGCACCACCTATCACGGCCCCCGGCGCATCAAGCCGTATGTGACGAGTTGGTGTCGTGCCGACCCTCCTCCTCATTCTCCTCATTCTCATCTTCTTCTCCTCCTCCTCTTTTCGCTTCTCTCCTTCTGCTTCCGATTTTGCCGGCGCCCGCCTGCCAAAAAACGCCTCCAATCGCGCAAGTTTTCTTCTCTGCAGCCCGACTAATTGCTGCAGGCGCCCACTTTCACATCGTCCCGCGTCACAATATGCTCGCCCCATTAACCATTGTACAATCTAGTTGCTAGTTTTTTCTCTCTCGGTTGTGTGGAGAAGTCTCTCTTGACCATGCCTTGCCATTAACGCCATGCCGAGAGAAAGAGGGGGAAGCGGTCGAGCAACACACGGCGCCACACACACACCCTTTCCGATGAGCATTTTTCTTCACAAGGATATAATATGGAGAGAGGGGGGGGATCCCAACGCCCTGCAAGCCATGGGAAACGGGCGTCAACGTACAGGCTTCCTGGCTGGCTGGCGAGCTGGCAAGCCTTGTTATGCCAGCCTGTCTTGGTGTGATGGGGTGGTGGTGGTGCAGGACGCAGAAGAGAGGGGGGAAACTTTTATATGAGCCTTGCACAAGTGCGGGCGCTTAAACAATTGCGCAGCCAACCAGACCGAAGTTATAAGCCCAGTCAACCTTGCGGAGATTTCTTTTTCCTTTTTTTTTTTTTCTTTCCTTTCGTATGAGACGTCGTTTTGTTGACCGGAGCCGAACTTTTTCTTCCTGCAAGCATTTTACTCCGGCCCCCCCTCCCCCCCCCCCTTCCCCCCCCCCCCCCCCAACATGGTGGGTTGCCCACTTGGACGAGAGAGGTCGGCTAACCGCCGAGGCTGCAGGCATCCACGCCCAACCTCCACACTCTGATCCGGGAAACAGAGCCGGCTTGTAAAGACTGGGAAGAAGTTAGTCCATCGCCAAGTGAGAGAGAATCCATTATGCGACCTACTGCTGCGGCCCTTGCCGTGCTCCATCAGATCGAGCATCTCTCCTTCATCGCCCCCAACGGGCCGATTCTTTTTCGTCTGATAGTCGCCTGCCAAGCCGGTTTCCGGCCCGTAAGCTCCATCACATCACAGTCGTAGCAACACAAGCACAAGTGAACCTTGAGGTTAATGAAATTCCTGCCTAAATCAATTACCAAAAAACGCCATTGTTTTCTTGCCGCAATCCGAGAGACACATGTTTTTACAGCACAGTCCTCTCCGTAGGAACAAAATGATCACCTCCATACATTGCATGCGCAAAAGCAACATCTCCCAAAAGAAAAATATTGTCCAAATGAACATATAACAAACAAGCAGCGCAGCTCTTCTCCATCAATCATCAGGCTTTGACAAAGTGCGAGACTCTCAATCGCTGTCATCGTCAGACTCATCCTTGGCCTTCTTGGCAGCCTTGGCCGCCTTCTTCTCCGCCTTTCTGCGCTTGCGATCCGCCTTCTCCTCAGCCGTCTCGCCCTCGTGCTTCTTGCGCTTCTTCTTCTCGCCCGCGTCCTCGCCGGCTGGCGTCTCCGCAATGTCCATCTTGTCAGCCTTTTGAGGCGTGGCAACGACGGCAGCAGCGGGCGTCGCCGCCGCAGCCGCAGCCGCCGCAGCGTCAGGAGCGCTGAAATCCTTGTACTCGGACGTCCACTTGGCGGGGGTCGCGTCGTTGGCGCGGCCAAACTTGTCCAGCTTGCCGTCGGCCTTGAGCTTCTTCTTCTCCTGGGCGACGGGACCGAGACCCCAGCGGCGGGGGTACAAGTCGCGCTCCATGATGCAGCGCTTAACCTTGGCCACCACACCGTGGTCACATGTGGACATCTCAACAGTCGACATTTGCGCGTACGCGAGGGCAATGGCCTCACCCTTGGTCGTCATCAGCACAATCTCCTCGTGGTGCTCGATGCCCGATTCGTAGCGGAGAAGACCGGGAAGCATCAGCTTGGCACCGTAGCACACGGCATTGACGGCGCTGTCCTTGACAACCAGGCGCTTGTACGAGGTCAGGAGGGTCTCGAGGGGAGAAATGACCTTGCGGAGATACGACTCGTCGCGCGTGTTGTCGTGGGTCCACTGCGCGTCAAGCACGTCGTGGAGGGTCACGAGCTGCTTGCTCTCGTCCATGGCTCCGGAGCGGACACGGCGCAGCTCCTGCATGTGGCCACCGACGCCGAGGAGAAGACCCAAGTGCACGCAGAGGGTACGGATGTAGGTGCCGGCCTCGCAGCTGACCCAAAAGACGCCGAGGTGACGGTCGTTGTCGAACTCGATGAGCTTGCTCTCGTGAATGGTTCGGATACGCAGCTGGCGCTTGACGGCGGAAATCAGGGGTGGGCGCTGGAAGAGAGCGCCAGTGAGCGTCTCGAGGGCGCGGGCGAATTGAGCCTGGCCGCCCGGCAGCTTGTCGTGCAGGCGGACAACGGCAACGTACTCCTTACCGGCGCCCTGCTGGGACTTGACCAGACGGGTGGCGCGGTCCACGCAGACAATCAGGCAGCCCGTGACCTTGGGGTCGAGGGTACCGCTGTGACCAGTCTTTTCGCATCTATAGCAGTAAGGTAATCAGCAATTGTTTTTTCCATCATCACCAGGCGTCGCTACTGACCGCAGAATACGCTTGACCCAAGCGACGACTTCGTGCGAGGAAGGGTTGGAAGGCTTGTCCAGGTTGATGACACCAGAGCTAATGTAGGACTTGATGTCACGCTTCAAAGGCGAGCAGCCATTGGGGATCGGGGTGAAGTGGCCAGTGCGAACAAGAACTGCCATTGCGTCAGTACATTACATCTTAGTTCAGAATCGCATTTTTCCTGGGCGCCATTGACTCACGCTTGTCGTAATTCTTGAGCAGCAGAGGCCAGTTGCTGGTGTCGAGCGCCGGTGTGCTCGCCTGGGGCTTGATGGAGTAGTCCTCCTCGGCCTTTTTGGTGGCCACAACTTCCTTGCCCATCTTGATTGTGTTTCTCGGCAAGAATTGTATCGGTCGAGTGTCGTTACAAGGCAAAACGTGAAACACGAGGGCGATGGTGATGTTTTTTGGCCTGCCTCTGCGTTTTGGTGGTTTTTCGAGATGGATAGCCAGCTTCTAAATTTTTTTTTCCTTTACCTTTGTGGGGACATTGACCGGTGCATGTGTGGCTAGTTCCGGGACGCTAGCTTAGTTATGGAAAGGCGGCGACGTCAGCCACGGTCACTAGCCACACTTTGAGGCCAGGAGCTTCTACCACTGGCAAATTTGATTTCAGTTATTGTAAGAAGCACGAAGATGCTGATATAATACGTCGGCCATCAAGGCCGTTCTCATCTATTTCATGAGCGAAAGGCTACATGCAAAGATTTCCAAGACTCCATTAGCGACGGCGTGTGAGCTTTTCTTACCGTGCCAAAAAAAAAAANAAAAAAAAAAAAAAAAGTAACGAACAAAAAGGTATCGTAAAATTTCCAAATGTTTGCGCTACGAAAAACAAGTTAAATAGCATTCCCGTTTCTGAAATCCTGCTCGTTCAAAGAGCGTCTTGAGGGGCTGGCAGAGTATCGACCATGTCCAGGATGGCTTAGCATGGGAGCATCACCTACGAAATGTCGAGTCTCGGATGGGCCACCGGCACTGTTTGCGACGTCGTTCAATTCGTACGATTCCGCGACGCCTTTTGGTTTGCTTTCCTCCCAAGAGTCGCCGTTTCTATCACCTCCTTGTGCCACCCCAATGTTATGGTCTCGCGCCAGCGCAGCGTTGGGCCAGGGCATAGAGGTCCCCTTGGTAGCGCTTGTCGGACTGTTGTACTGTGACGAGTATGGTGAGACGTAGCGTGGAAGCGGCTTTTCGGCCGGCTCAGTCATGGGTGAGTCGCCCCAGCCACTATTCGGGGCACGCTGGCTAGTCGGCGGCTCAAACATGCCGCCGCCAGGACTCTGGGGCGCCGGCCAACCCTTATTTGCCGTATAGATTGCTTCCAATTTGCGTAGGTATGCTCTGCGTCTTCTCTTTCCATTCCAGACGATGAACATGCCCGAAATAATCAAAAGTAGTACAAAAGCGCCGACAGCAATGCCCACCTTCGCGTTGAGGTTAAGGGGGCCGTTATCGAACCAGGCAGGATCGACTGTGGATATTGGTGTTGGTGAAGTAATGGTGAGAGTAGTTTTCGAAAAAGGATCACCGTCGACACCTACGGAAACTCCTTGCTCGGGCTTCTGGAGGCAGCCGGCATGAAGCATTATCACAACTGGGTAGAGGTCAGCGATGACAGATGGCTGGGCGGGAGATGCAGCAACATACAATTAGACAGGATGCGATGTTCAGCCGCCAGGCAGTCTCTGCAGCCGCGAAAATCGATGTCATTGTCAGAAGGCCACAAATCGCAGTATTCGTAGCCACGATCCTTGGCAGAGACATCATTAAAGATGGTCGCATTCATGAAGTTTGCGCAGGCCTTGCTGTAAATTGGTCAATACAGGTTGCTGGGTTGTAAAGAAAATCATTACCTGGTAACGCAAGGGTTGCTATGGAGCATATGATCTTTGCCAGGGACACCAAAGAGGCATGATGAGAGAGCATATCGCATGTTGTCTGCGACAGTTGAAGTTAGCTTGTTGTAGGGGCGTGTAATGACATGCTTCAACGTACATAGTGCTGCAGTGACATCAGTCTCGTTGTTGGGGCCGACGTAATGGCTGTTGACCTCGCACTGAACACACCCCTTGAAGATTTGGCTGTCGCCAGCGCCGAAGCTTTTATCACCGCATGCTATATCAGACTGAGAGGTAGACTCGAGCACATTGCCGCACTTTGTCAAACAAGGTGAGTTTTGATTGACCAGGACAGCTTGCGCCAGGGGTAGCGCGGTGGTGAGAACAACAAGACTGGTGCGAAGAGTATACATGGCGGACGCCAGTCAAGGCTCCCGTTTGGCGGCTTGTATCTCCCCAAAGAGCGTGCAGTCAAAAGCTTTATACAATGCAGTTCTCGAGCCGCCGCGATAGATTGCTGAGTCAAGTGATGGAAGCGAGACGGGCGGGCGAAACTATAGCGATGCAGTGCGGGTAGGTGCCGTCGGCTCCCGCAAACGGGACCCCGCAGAATGCGATGAATAGCGGCAAGGCAGCGTCAGATATGGGACCCGTTGTTGGTTGAGTGAATTGTGCGGCTGCGTTTCGCAACCTGTCTATGCTGGGTCGTTATACAATGTGGATTTGTGTGTATGTGAGTGTGTGTACGGAATACAGGAGTGCATGAGCCCGCAGTCAGGATGATGGGGAAGCAAAAGAGGTCGTAGGATCGATTTATTATGGCCCCCAATGAAAATAATCGACGGGCGGGAGAAGACAGGGTACGCGTACAACATGAGGGGCGGAAGGCTGGAGGGCCGACCCTTGCCAACGGGAGACGGCATGAGGGTGACTGACACTGGGTGTGAGAGACGAGATGGTTGGATGGTGATGATGCAGGTTGTTTGAAAGAAGATGGAGGCTAGAAAAGAGGGTGGCTTGGGAAATGCGCTACTTGGGGCCCTAAAAGGCAGGTATCTACAAGCTACAAGCTCGCTGCATGGCTCCTGTAAGCCTCCTGTAAGCCTCCTGCAAGCCCCCAAACAAAGGTGAAAGAGCCCTGGAATTCATATATGACGCCCTGTAAAGACCTATATACGGCCCTAAGACCATTAAGAAGCCCAAGCCGTACAAATCGTAGCCACTATCACATCTGCCCCATCACATCCCAGTATGCCGCTTCTGGTTGGCTAGCCTCGCATTTCACTCGGCGCTTACCTCGACGACTTCATTGGCCGTTGCATTATTCTGCATGCATGTCTCTGGTTTTGTTGTCACATTGCTCAACTCTACATGGGCATTGGGCCAGTTGAGTCCTCAATGCATCATTGATATGTCCAGGTTTCTCTCCATTCCTTGTCTTTTTGTAAAGTCCCGGCTTCCGCATTCGCAAAAGATGTGCGGAACCGCCTCGGCAATACAAATCTGGATCACCATAAAACGCCACTCAGAAGTATTGCTTTTCATTGTCTCACATGCGCATAGAATCGGCGAAACATGAATTTCTCTTTTCTCATGCTTACTTGTTTTTTGGGGTGGAACAATTGCTCTCGTGTTCGCTGTATGACAGATAGCAACTACGCGCTTGCCCAGGCAAAGCGCAAAACAGTAATGAAGAAATGGCATGTAAAACATTCACAGCAAATGTCAAAGCTGTGACATATCGATGTGCACGATGACACCCTGTCAGAAATTTTGACTCTTGTTTCACGCCTTGTGCTCAGTAGTTTCCGCGCATACATGCGGACATGCCAACGCATATCCAAGAGGTGACGGCGTCAAAATGGTAACACAGCAAGGAGATCCTCCAGGCTCCGTCAGAACTCGAAACATGTTTCATTCTTATTCAGAAACACGCCGCCAGAGATAGCTGTGGCGTTTGATTCGAACTGTGCGACAAGCATCGCTGCGTTTCAACAGCAGAATCGCCATGTCAGCACGACTTAGCTCAGCCCTTTCATTCATGTAAAGCCACTCCCGATAGAAATTTAAAGATGTGTAAACTTTTACTATAGCGTATCTTCTTTGCACATCTTTACTTTGATTATAAGACTCACTTCAATTTTATACCATTCTCTTACAGAAGAAATCAGCCGCTATTCGCTTCCATGCCAGCTCTCAACTCTGTGTTCCCTGCATGTAACAGCCCTGAAACTTGACATCATCAGTCGCAATCGCAATACCTCATTTGAAGCTGTGTCACATTTATGAAACGCGTCAGATTGGGACTGCATCTTTCTTGAATCCTCGAGCTTGAAGAGTCTCTGTCTGCTCCCGTGTAAAAGCATTTAAGTTCTCGACCGCCCTCTGCGGCTTGTAATCTTGATGGCTGTCAAAACTTCATTTCCACACTGCCTTGTTCGTCTTCTTTTCGAACCTTTCGAAAATTTTCGCTGCGGTGGTGTATGCTATGCCGGTGACAATGGATGACAAAGGCTCATCGTCGTTACTCATGGCTCACAGCGTCTCATGGCAGTGACCCATGATGAACGACTTGCAATTGAGATCTCATTTGCTCAAGGACACTTTTTCATTAATTCCAGAGCTCTTGATGAACATTTTGATTGTCATCCTTGGAAACGCGAGTCTTCTCTGACTGCATACCTTTTCACATCCTTGATGGCCCTCCGTCTCACTTCTTCGACATCAACATCACCGATGTCTTCCACTGCCTGCACAGGGGACAACACCTCTACACCAGTATACATACAAGCGCAGATTTTTTTGTCTCGGTCTATCTTTTGCTACCAACACTTCCACAACACTTCCACAACACATGAAACAACACATCAAACAACACATCAAACAACGCAGTTGATTCCTACACCAGGCATTGACGGTAGCTTGCCGGCAGTCCGGGCATTACACCCAGTTGCACTCACTTCATATGCGGTGCACAAAACAGCAAAGGTAGGTAACCAGAATTCCGAGCGAGCAAAGTCAACAGACTGTCAGAAGTATGGTGCGGTTTGGCTGATACTTGGTGAAGAAGGGAGGCCCAAGCTGTCATAGGCCACGGCGGTGGAGGTATAGGTGCCACACGGGAACAAGTTCCCGAAACCTTGCTCGTGAGCTGAAAAAGAAATTGAGTGAACGCTGCAGCTTCGGCATCTTTACACAGTTCCTCATAATTGTTGGTGCTCTGTCTGCGCCGTGCACGCACAGCATCGATTTACCGGTCACCCTCGATCGGGCGAGACCCGGAGCTCAATACGACAAACTTATTCGCTTCTTGATCTGGACTTTCAAGCTTGAGACTATCTATATGATGTCTATAAGTATTCAAGACTTCGGAAGCTTCTTTGCGTCCTGCTCAAAAGTCTACGATACAGAGCAAGCGCCTCCGACGAAGGACTTGCCAACCACACAAAGTCTTCTTCGATCCCGATCTCATCAGCCCAGTCTCTTATCCTCCCTGTACTTCTCATATCTTGAGGCACTGAAACTCCATCTAGTGCTACTAGGTGAGCTTGTACGACTGCGCAACGGTCTTGTTCGTTGCTGAGCCCCTAGTGGCTGGCTCAAACCCGTCTTTGGCTGTCCAATATACACGCCAAACATGTGTATTGCTGAAATACTAGCTCTATACACTGTTCATCTTGATGCTGTTCTGAGCTTTAGGGGGGCTTAGACACATCAGTGTTCTTGACAAGAAGTACCCAAAGTTGGTGCTATCATGCAAGCTGGGCCATCTTTGCAACGGTCTTTTCCGCTGCAATATCATCTCAGTTTGCTAGCTCAACACTTTTCTTACTACCTGGATCTTCGAGCATCTTGAAACAGCATGCCTCTTGGCAGGCTGTGGCGCAGAGCTACTGCTCAACTAGGTAGAGACAAGTCGTTTGACCCAGAATTTTATTGAGTATGTCTAGGATGCGTTCTAAAAGTACGACTATGATGACAAAGTTATAGATCTCTGAATCGGCGGCATTTCTCCGCCGACTTGACGCAACTTTATACGAGGTGTAACCCAAACAGCCATGCGGCAGCGTCGTCATTGCTGAAACTTGGGAAGCTCGTTCTGCGGTTTCGATGCTTACATGCGTCTCTTCACTTTCTGGAACGTTTCGAGTCTGCGATTATTCAGAGAGAGAATCACTTCTTTTACCAGAGACTCGGATAGGTCTTGTTCTCGCCCCAGGGTAACTAGCTTAATCGGGCGATACTGAACAGCTGCGCAACAATTTTTTCTTCATTGACGAGCATTTCTTACCAGCAGTAACACTGCCAACTGAGTCTGGGCGAGCGGACGAGTACGAAGCAATGCGGGAGCTTGACTGGGAAAGCAATGCGCAGCTGAGTCACTGCTGAGTCCCCCTTTCTCGGTCCAAAGTTTCTATCATATGGATATTGTCGCGCACGCAAACGCGCAACGCATCCTTGCTGTTGGCCGTTATTGGCAGATCGATGCGGCGCTCCGTCTAATCTCAGTACTAAGCAGCTTCACGAACACATTGTCGACAATCGGTACCCTCAAGTGGCAGGAATGAGCAACTTGCACCTGCCACAAAATACTTGACCACTCATACTTGCTTCTCGCACTTGCACTGTTCGCTCGAAGCGATGGACTCCTTTTTGCTGCCTCAATCATTTAACAAGATCGACTTGTTGGCGGTCTTAGATGGTCAAGTCACTGCTCTCCGTCGAATACTCCTCTTTTTTTTTNTTTTTTTTTTTTTTTTTGAGCGGCCAATATCCTTACATTCTCGGACTATCTCGGTTACTTGTTTCTCTGCCCTGGCTTTTCCCGCCTTTTCATACAATTTGAAGGCATTGGGACTGTTCCTCTCCACTTCATCACCCATTCTTCAACCGCGACTGATAAATTACCTCCCTCGCTCAGTGCCCCTCTGCTTTTGGAGCCGTCCAAAAGCACGGTTCAGACTTGGCAAAATTTAACAGTTTTCGCTACTTTCGTGTCCCTTTCCCGGCCGTATGGAGGTGCTGGCAAGCTTGCACTTCGAAGAATAGTTCTTGGCCGCGGGCTGCTTGATTGTGTTCGCTGATTGCGAGCGCGGGGCACATCATTACTACCATCGCCGTACCTTATCCTACGATGAAGCAGCCCATGACGCGTCGAGTCCCTCGACGAGCTGCGACTGTTCTCTTCCGACGGCTCTCTCGCCTTTCGACGGCGGCCTCTGCCCACGGACTGGCTGCGTTCGGTGGATGGACTTGTCGTCATGATGCTCGGACTCGCAAGAATTGGAATGATACCACAATCGTCTGGATCGGTCGGTAGCTTCAGTGCTACCAGCTTCTGGGCATTGCGCGACTTGGGAGATACCGGTCTCTTGATTGTTCTGGGATCGATTACGACTGCGCTGGCCGGATCCGATGCCAACGTACGGTCTGAGGAACGTGGCGAGCGAGAACGAGCTGCTCGTGGTGTTTTCGGCCGCATTGGCAAGACATTCTGGGCAGGAAAGAAAGCCACTTCTCGTCTTGTACTTTCGCCATCTTGTGCGAGCATCGACCATGGTCCGTTCCAACACTGGGGAGACGTTGAAATTGCTGTTCTCGGGTCCTCAAAGGGCGTTGTGGGCGTGGCCGGGGTTGCATTTTCGAATATTCGAGGATTCTCTCTTCTTAACATGCCGTAGTCTGGAAAACGCATACGACGGCTACCGGGATACGGTGTACTTGCCTCTGGCGAACGGACCTTGGCGCTGGAGTCTTTGGGGTCGGATGCTGCAGCCGCACGCACTATGTATTCAGTCGCCGATATCTCTCGAGGGATTTTGGAATTTAGTTTTGGAATGTCCAATTTCGGACGCGCCTGTCCTCTGCCTGTTGCCGGCCGCCCTACCGTCACAAGAGTGGGAAACACCCTGACCGCCGGGAGGGCGAGTCGCTTGGCGCCTTCCGCATCAAAGTCGTACTCGTGCGGGAATTCTTGCGCAGTATCGGATCCTCTGTATGATGTATCGGGTGTGAGAGGCCCTGTTTGAGGCGAGTCTGCGCTTGTCAAGGACTCAGTATCCTGCTCTAGGTTGGGGCCTGCCTCCATCCGCCGAGGGCTGAGTTTGTGAACCGGGTTCTTGGACGTGTCAACTACAAGAAGACCTTCTTGAGAGCTGCCAAGATAATCATAGACCAGTACTTCTCCGTCTTTGATGCCGAGCACGGCACTTGTTCCCGCATAGGTGTCTGGGCCCGTGCTGTTGCACAGCACGATCAAGGTTTCTTCTTTGCGCTTTGCTTCAACCAAGGGCTCCAAGCGGGCAACCCAGCATGACAAGGCATACTCGTCAGGCTTGTAAGGGGGCTTGGATGAGAAGTCTGGGTCCTCTTTTGCCCACGCCATTGAGATGATAGCGGCGTAGCTGTCCACCGCCAGCATGTGTTCGGCAAATGCTGTGGTTTCCAGATCATTTGAGAATTCTCTTTCACTATCAGTACGACACGTTAGCAGGGATATTTTGAACGCGTCTCAAAGGGTTTACACATACCCAAGGTCTGTGACTATCGAGCGGCGAGGCGAAAACCGACAAATTAGCCCTTTTTCTTGTCAGAGCCCTGGGTTTCTTCGACTTACACTGTCCAACCGTTATTTTGCCAAAGTCGGTTTTGATGTCGGAAAACATGGGCTCGTTCGTATTTATGATTCTCTCGGCATCATTTTCGACGGTCTTCCCAAACTTGTCTATCGCAATGGAGGAGCTAAACCACCTTTCCTCGGGGATTTGGCCACAGCGGGCATCGATCACTTCTGGGTAGCCGACCACGACGGTGCACCCGTACTTCACGGCTGCAGACTTGGCCCAGAGTTGCGTGGAAGTAGTAGTAGTCTCATATTTCCCAAGGTCCTCCGGTTTAAAGTCAGGGCCTTTGAGGGGAGGTTAGCCTTGCAAATGAGTCATGGAGACTAGCGGACTGCGTGTGACGAAAGAGGATTGCAATGTGGCACATACCTGAGAATGCCACTTTGGGAAGAACGAGGAAGTCGAGGTTCGATTCGACGGCAGTGGAAGTTTGTTTGCCGACCTTGTCCAAGATGTCATGAGCCTTTTTCATATTGGTTTCGACCTCCCCGGGCCGTGAGGCAAACTGAAGGCAGCCGACACGCATTTTGAAGGAGTGCGAGCTTCGACAATGTGAGATTATTTGAAGAGGAATATGTGCGCTTTTGGTTAACGGCCGTATGCGTTGGCCTCTCTGAAATGAGAAGTAGTGGACTCGAGTCTCGAATTCTTTGCTGCTCAAGCAAGCACTGATTACTTCTGGCTGCGAACATGCCAATGCTTTATATCAAGCGTAAGTTCTCAGTTACTCTGATTCTTGTTTTGAGGAGTTATTTTTGGACATTGGATATGGATTGTGCGGCCGATGGTTTATAATCCCCTCTGGCGCTTGACGGCGCTGGTTGCTGCCAATGTGTTCGTGGAGCTAGCCCTCCAAACACTCCGTAAATAGATACTTGCATCGCAGAGTTGATTTACATGCTGACTCATGTATTGAGCGGCTGTCATTATTGTCAGAATATGCGTTGCACAACGCGAGATTGGACATGTCGGCGACGTCCCCAACCCCCTCGCCACTGCGAGGTGATGGCCACGATGTCACAAAAATAGCCTGGTGCTCGTGTTACAATTCCCATCTCCTCTTCCATTTTTGGCACGTTCTCTTGACCCTTCTCTTCTTCATTGTCTCGGTACTTCAACTCTTGCGCTTCTGGTACCTCTTTGACAGCTGATTCTCAAGCAGCTCGGATTGCCTCCTGATGAGTGATTGAGTCGACGGATGAAATATCGGCAACGCCTAGTGGCGATATCGCTCACGTTGAGTCAGTCTTCTGTCCATTGCATGACTTTTACCCCAGGATTTTGGTCCCCATCTCGAGTCGTGTCTCCATGCTCTCCCCCGCACAGCACGTCGTACCGCCGCCCATCACATGTGTGTAGAACCGAGCAAGTGGCATTGTGATGTGATTGTTTATCAATGCAGCCCTTGAACCACTACAATGCTATGAATGGAACATGCCGTTCTATTCTCGTAAAAGGTGTGCTTGATATCGACAGTCAGCGGCCACCCCCCATTGTGCAACCCGTCGGACAACTGCACCGGGTTCTAATCATGTGATGGTGTCGTCGCACAACTTTGCAATGGGCGCGTCGCGCCGGCGAAAGACTTGGGTCGCTGTCACTCATGTCCACTCACACACTGCAATCGAGTCGCCCGTTGTAATTCGCCGTCGTAACTCGAGCGTCGTCGTTTTTTTTTTTTTTTGGCGCCTGTCTTCAGTGGCCGCTTCAATCATCTACAGCGTTGTGCATCTATTATTAGCTCTGCAGCAAGAAGTTCTTCTAAAAAAAATCATTGTCAGACCCAGGCATCATTAGATGTCGAAAACCTTTGAAAAGAAACACCCTAAAGATAGAAGCAGCGCATTTCAATGAGACGCAAACACCCCCTCCCCCCAAAAATAGTTGCGTTCAGGAGGACCAGGCGCGTCTCACGAGGACAAAGCTACTTTAATCTTGAGCATATTTATACCCTGAGAATGGAATCATCTTTGCTATCCGTTAAGTAGTCTAGTTGGTTTCTTGCCTGGCTTCTGGACAGGATCAGCTGTCATGGTCCACACATCTTCGCTTCAGCTATCCTGGTGGCAAATTAATCTGCAGACTACACAACAAAAATCGTCTCCCATACGCAAATACCAATTGCGTTTGCCAACACAGTCTCGTCCCGTAAGCTCCTTCAACAACGCCTGCTAGGCAGCGGCATATAGTCGTCTTCCCCCCTCATGCACAAGTACAACGAGCACTGGGGTCTAAAGACTCCTTATCGCCGCCGTTGTCTCGCGGCCCGGGCCCTTTTATTTCCAGAGCAGTCGGTAGCTGTCTCGACGTGCGCCGCCACCGCTCACCAACTTCCCTCTCCTTTCCCCGTGGCACCTCTCTTGGCACGAGTTTCAGCGCCGGCACCTGTCTAGCCGCCGCTTTGGGTCTCCGCGAGGGATCTTGCAGAGGGACCGAATTCTCCTTGGCCTTGGACCTGCCCAGCACCGGCAGCCGCACCTGGTATGCGGCCTGCTCATCATCACCGCCCATGCTGCTCGGGATTGAGACCGCGCCTGTTTGGCCCAAAACTGCAGTGGCAAATCCGGGCGCACGCCTCGCGTGACGCCGCCTCGCACGGATCGGCGAATACAGCGTCATATGGCTCATGGGAGTGTCCGCGATTGGCGTAGGCTCTGCCGAATACTCTAGCCAAGCGGGTTGCCTGGCCTTGGTCACGCTTCCATGGATACAGTTTGGCCGTGCCTCGCGAACTGCGCGGACTGGAGTCGGAGCAGCCAGCTTCAAGTTGGGCCGACCTGCGTGGCGAAGCTCATCATAGTCGTTGTGCGTTTCGAATCCAATATCGTTCTCCGGCTCTTGGCATTCCTCTTGGTCCTCCTCCTGGCTATCCCCTTGGTTCTCAGCCTCTGTGGAAAAGCCTTGCCTGGCACGCTTCTTTCTGAGCAGATGTGTATGGTATCGAATATGGTGCTCGGATGTCAAATTTTTGCCATGAACATGCTTGTATATGTCTTCTTCCTTGAAGTTCTCCGTGTTCGGCGTCGGCGAGTCTTCATGTTGGAGGGCAAAGGATGCAATTCTGTGCACGAGAGACAATTCCGAAGTGGCGTATCGCTCTTGCCATGGACCCCACCGCTCGGCACCAAAAAGTTGTGACTCGTGAGAGTAGGGCCAGCCTTCCTCCTCCCTCTCGGAGTACGAGTCATGAAGAAACGATTCATCGTCACTTTCAGAGAAATAGTCCAAACGATTTCCGTTATAATCGCCGTCACTCATTGTCGGCCGCATTGCGTCCATGCGATGTTGCCGCGTAGCTGGGGCGGCAACATGGGACTGCGTGAAAAGCGTGTAACTATCGTGGCTGCAGGAGGATGCAAATCCGACACTGCTACCATCAATTCTGAAAGGGCCGCTTGTGCGGTGCTCCCGTGGCCGTCGTGATGGTTCAGGCCAGTGATTGTCGTAATGCGAGTAGCCCTCCGCCTCTCTCGTCACTACGATAGCGTCCAAGGTGAGCTCCTGTACATCGGTCAGATTTGCCTGATGGGATCCTACGCCGTTTGTAGTGCGCGTCTCCGAGCCACCTGCATCTGCTCCTTTGTCTGATGGGCCTGCTTGGAGGTACGTCTGCGATGCCAGGGTATCTTCATATTGGTCTTGGGCCTGAACGGGCTCAAGGCTCTGCAGCCTAATTTTTGCGTATGGTACGGCGTTTGTGTCAACCACAAGCAAGGACTCTTCATCACGGCCAAGGATACCGTACAGTGAAACTTCGCCAGACTTGACACCAATGACCGTGCTCGTGCCAACGTAGGTGGTATCCCCTTCAGCTCCGCACCTGTTTCCAAAAACGATGATGGTTTCTTGATTGGAGTCAATAGAGATAATGGGCTGTAGTCGAGTGAGCCAGTACAACAAGGTATCCATGTCTGGCTCCTTGGGCTCGAGAAAGAACTCTTCTTGGTCAGCATTGGTGCACCACGCCATGCTCAGCACTATAAGCCGCGCGCCCGTCTCGAGCGCATGGTTGGAGAATTCGTAGGCTTCCCATGGTGCTTCGAACTTGTAGGGGCTAATGACGATGTTAGCGTGAATTCTGTTGATATATAAGGGGGTATAGGCGCTACAAAGATGTGACGCGTCCATTTTTTGAGCGTATAAAATTCAGTCCCCTCTTAATTTCAACCAGCTGCCAGGGTATGCTCACTTGATGTCCATGCAGATGCCAAGAACGAGATGGCCCAGCCCTCGGACATGGCCGTTGTAAAATCCGCCGCCGCCTTCGAGCGCCCACGTTTCGTCGGTATAGTAGAGATGTGACTTCCTGTAGTTTCCCACGACATCGCCGTCGCCGTCGATGATGATGGCCGAGTTATAGTACTCTGGGTCCGCAGGCCAGCTGCGCCCCGGATCAACTTTCTCTGGGTAGCCGGCGACGACGGCGCAGCCGTACTTGAGTGCGGCCTGCCGTGACCACGTCGCGGTGATGCCGGTCTCGGCGAGCTCCAGGTGCGGCGAGATGTGGCCGAGCGACTTGAAATTGTAGCCAGAAAAGGCGAGCTCTGGCAGAACGAGCAGGTCAATGTCTTGCGGGTCGGCCCGGTCCAGGATGGCGTCTGCTCGCTCGACGTTTCGGTCAGTCTCGGCGAGCTGCGGCGCGAACTGGAGACAAGCTATACGCATTTCGATGAGAGCCCAGAGCGACGCGGCCAGCCGAATCGCTTCCTGAGGCTTTGATGCTGAAAGATCTATGCTGTGACTGAGATGGCACCTTGGAAAACCAAGACTTAATAGTGGAGATTTTGCACGGAGCGTACCATCAAGACCGACAAACGGTCGTCAAACATATCGAGAGCGCTTAAAAAGGCCACCATGTCGAAGTATCACGAGTGGGTGTCTGAGCGAGAAGACCACAATAAGTATTAATTTCTCGGGTTCCAAACGACACAATCCTGTGCATCATCTAGAAAAAAATTTCTCCTGTCTCGGACCAGATGCGCGTATCTCGCTGTTCTTGTTAGTTGGGCACTGGACTGGGGCAATTTCGTCTCTTCCCGTCGGGGCAAAGTTACACGCTACTCAAAGTAGCCGACTCGCATCAGGCCATTACACGGTACGACACCGGAAGTGACAAGTTTCGTTTCAGTCATGGGTCATGATACAAAAAAGATTTTTTTTTTTTTTTCAATTTTACAGATAATCCAAACTCCAACGCAAAGGGTCCACAAAGTAAACAATACCTCTGTGCAATGATGAAGGTCTGGTCAAAGATCTAGCAAAAGAACTGCGATATGGCATCACACCAACAATGTGACACACCGATAGGTAGAATACACTTTTCCTGCTCATTCTCTTCTTTTGTATCTTTCCTACTCCCAGCGGATTCTCAAAAACAGAAAAAAAAAAACAACAAAAAAAAACAACAAAAAAAACGATTCGCAATACCTTCCTTCTCTCCTTCAAATACATACGCTACCCTCGATTTCATGCTAGCGCTGGCACTCGCATACCCATATCTTTCTGCGTGTCGAGTAATATCCCCTTGATGGTCATTGTCAGCATGGATCTATCCTCATTTAGACAATTCAAGTCTCCCATATTCGAGATGAACGACATGGCCTTCGGCGTTGACGGGTTGAACGGCAACGAACCTCGCACCAACCACTTTAGAACATCATCATGCGCAATATGAGTCCTCGTAACCATGGCAAGTTCGGGGGCATGGTTTCCCTGCTTCTGGTGAGCACTTTTCTCCAGTTCCAAGTTAGTTTGTCTTTTTGTCGCTATTGTTGCACCATAAAGTGACAGCTGTGCTATGAAAGAAAAGGCGTAACACGGGCGTAGCGCCGCGTTCGCGGACTAGCATTGGATCTTCTCACGCCGCGACAGCTTGCCCACGATAGCCTCACGGCGTTCTCTCCTAAACTATCGCTCTTCTATATTATGGCGTGGTCAGGCACAAGGTGAAGCAGGTATGTCAGCTGCACATCACTCCCAGCAAAGCGGCCAACCGAGCCAGCATCTGGTCGATTCTGACATATCAACGGCTACTTCTGAATGAACGCTTCTTTTTCTCTTCCCCGTCTTCTTTCCTCAAGTGTGCTCCTTACTCGGCGCTCACGAAAGTTTTGTCTCGAACTTTTGGTGCGTACGCGAAATGGTCGCGCAGTTGCAAAGCTAGGATACGAGCCAAGGCACAGAGGAGGATTTGGCCAACCATGGTGAATTTCCGGTGACTGCTCATGAACTCTTACAGGCTTTTCAGGTTTATTTTCTGCTTACGCCACAGTGTAAAATCTTTTTGTAGGAAAGCTCACAAAGACACATTAGCAACGTTGACAAGGCAAGACCTGGCTGTGACCTCTTAATATTTGAATCTCGGGCAGTCAAGCCTCTCTGTGTATGCTTCGCTGATGACCTGCAATTATATTCTACTCTATCTTGATTAGAAGAAAAGCAAGTCAGGGAGAACCATTTCAGCACCTCAACATTTGGTAGCTCTTCTTGCGGCCCAGACACAGCAGTTGCTGAGCCAGGACAGCCGGCTCCAATCGGTGTACTGATAGGTGAAATCCCAGCCTTGTTCTTTTTTTTTTTTTTTGCCAACTCCAGAGACACAACAGAGCGCATAAGCGGCACGAGCGGCCTCCCCTCAACGTTATGGTGGTCATTCTGCGTGGCGTCGACCCGGCCGGCAGCAGGCTGCAGGACCTCCCAGCCCCCTCAGCGCGTATATACCACCTCTTATTGGTACAAATTGCTCTCCCGGATAATCACCGCAGTTATAGCCCTTGCTGTGCATCCCGCCCCTCCTCTACGCTGCGCAAAGTTGTACATTGGCCCAGTCACATCACCGCTGGATTGGGACCCTCAACTCGTGTCGCTTGAGCAGCTGATGAAGCTCCAGGAATCCCTGCAAAATGTCATGAATGGTGATGGTGGTGTTGTGTATTTCGGATAATTGTCTGACGGACAAGCGGTGCGGGGGGTCTCATGTCCAAGCCACATAATGTCCTACCTAACAAGCTGTCCATGGTGTGTCTATGCATACCCTTCGTGTCACTCACAGAGCAGCATAGTGCGTGCATAAAATAGGGACAGGCGGCAAGCGTTGTATAATGGATATTATTCTAGTGATCGTGCCTTGCGGTCAAGGAAATCATATTTGATTGCTATTCCAAGAAAAGACGACATCTGCAGAATCCATGACACAGAGTTCAACGAAATTCAATACTCGCTGTGCTGAAATTCCAAAGAAAAAAAAACAAGTAACTGGAATCTTATGCCATAGAAGCCGTTGGCTTGTAGGGAAGAATGACTGCGACAAGGGGGGGTATCGTTCTAGCTGGGATAGAATGGTACCGTCCGGCTCTCACTTATCCAGTTCGTGCCATGCAGATGAAGAAAAGAAGACTGAAAAACACACAAAAACATGGAGAGAAAAAAAACTCCTACTCAAATGTTTTTCCTTGAATCTGTAATGAGATCCAAAAACAGAACAGCGTGTCGCACAGGACGTGGTGCTAGGTGACCAAGTCCTGAGACGACTCATTGCACTTCCCCTGCCTCATTCCGTCTCTTTCTTGACGTTGCCGCCGTAACCGTCAAGGGTGTGTAACTGCACCTGTGCAGGCAGCAGCCTTTTCGGCCTGGGCTGAGAACAGACAAAGATATTGGCCCGCGCTGTAGAACATACCAGAGGCAGTCTGCTCGCGCCACCCAACTCAAGCCATCGCAGACATCTGCACTGCGGTGGGCGTTTTCTCTTCTGCATATGTGATGACAGATGCTTGAAGAAGAGTAAACTCTCCCGTTCTCTCGTCATCCCCCTCAAATTCAACATCAAGCGGAATATACGACATCGCCTTTGGTGTAGGTGGATTGAAGGTCGATGGTGCCGTTGTTGGCCTTTGAATATCCTGAGCCAGGGCAACAGAGTGATCGGGACTCCTTGTCGTGGTAAGTGGCGCACTCACTGGACCCCGATTCGCATCTGACCCAGCCACGACAGTTTGTGTCTCTGCGTGACGACTAGAAGTGCTAACAGTAGAGCCGCTTTCTCCATGTCTGCGTCGTTGCTCCGCGTCCTGACTTGCCGCCGGCCCATGATTACGACATCTAGATGAGCGGTGGGACCTGCCGTTGGTGGCCGATGAACTAGATCGACGACCGTGCACCGGGCAGTTGGGGCAGATGATAGCTTCGACTCTCTCAAATTCCAGTCTGTCTTCAGCACGACTCGACTGTCCGGATCGATGATGGCGCTGGCTGCGCGAGTTGTTCCTGTCAGATGGCGCAGAATTTTCTCTCCTGTTGGATGACCGCCTCACTCTATGATGAAGGACATCGTTGCGGGTGGAGTCTGCAGAGCTGGTGCGGTCTCGTGAGCCTACAGGTGCCTTTCCGCGCACATCAGCAGGTGCGACAGGTGTACCAGGTGCACCGGGTGCGCCGGGTCCTGGCTGCCTTCCGCGGCTGATGGTTCGAGGGCAGCTGTCTTCCTTGATCGCTGCCACTGGAGAGAAGCTGTAGTACTCGTCTCTGGTTGAGAAGGAATTGCTACGCTGATGATATGCGGCAGCTCCGATAGGTCGGTAATATTCCAAAGCAACGGGGGTGGGGATGACCATTCTGCGCGGAGCATCTCGGTCGAGGATGCTAGGACTGGCCGCTATTGGCACAGATGAGGACCATGGCGATGTGTCCTTGTCCTCTTTGTTGTTGGAACGGCCATGTAATGTCGGCGTAGGCCCCTTGCCTGAATGCAAAGTAGCACTTTTGGCGGGCTCTTCGGCATATACCCCGTTCGCATATATCTCCTCGGGCTGTTCAACGGAGCACGCACGATTCGACACGTTTTCCAAGTGCTGCGAGACGACAGCGTATTCACGTTGGCTCAAGGCGGAACTGGAGCGGTCTCTGGTGCGAGAGCGGCTGGCATTGCGAGACTTGGGTGAAGAAGGCCTCTTTGGAGTTTTCCGGCGCTCATCATACTCCATGGGACCTTGGGGCACTGCAGTCACAGCTGTGCCGGGCTCTGGCGTCTTGGCAGTTGCGAATCTGCTACTGGTTCGGCTGCGTGACCTAGCAGAGCCTAGAGCATGCCATGGAAATGGTTCAGGCTTGCGGCCGATGGGCGTGCCTGGGAACCATCCACCAGCGGAGTTTGGCGTGCGGAGGGCACTGTCTGGTTGGCGGGAATACCACGAAGACGCCACTGGCGACATGTCCTCAAACGGAGTAGTAGGCGAGAAGTTGGAAGAGAACTGGGCATCTGTCTTGATCTTGACATAGCCGCCATATATCTTCTTCTTTTGAGGATAACCACTCAAGGGCATGCCACTGTGTGGATATGGTGTGCTGTCTTCCGGCGGACGAGGGTTGGAGCGGATGGTTAGCGTGGATGCCTCTGATTCATCCGACTTGACTGAGTGAAAGGAAATCTCTGATTGAAACGATTTATTCGACAAGACAGACCTGGCACTAGCTGGGTTGGAAGGATGTATTTGTCGCGGCTGCATCGGCGGAGATTGTGGAATAATAAGCTTGGGTCGAAGAGCCTGGTCCCTTGGGCTTGGCAATGAGGGTTGAGGGATCGTGATGGGCCCTTCTGTGGCTGGTGACCGAAATGTTGCAGCAGAGTTGGCAGCTGATACGTCAATCGGCGTCACAGATTTCTTCTCGGTAGGATGCTTGGGCTCAGTAAGCTTGTCTGGCGTGGGGGCAGCGCCTGTTGATACCATGCCCTTGGGAGCCGGTATCAACGGGGAGTTTGCTTCTTCTTTGGACACGTCCCCTGGAAACGTTGGCACCATAGGTGGCGGCGGAGGAACGAGATTTGCTTTCCGTTGAGGCAAGCGGCCTCGAGAGGGATCACGACTGGTGGTAAAAGGGGCATCAACGAGACTCAACGACACGGTGGACTTATTAGCCATGCCAGATGAGCTGATGTCTCTTCGTTCAGCTGCTTGGGCTTGCGATGGTGCCCGCGCCTCCGCTTCCAAATCGCTGCCTTGGTCCGACGTTGCCGGTGTGCTATGATCGGGAGCAGTAGGATCAGACCCGGTCAAGGATGAGTTCTTAACTTCGTCCGGGTTGACTTGCTCCTCTTCTTCTTCTGGGCGGTACACAAGCTTGGCGAATGGTGGCTCCGAAGTGTCCACGACAAGAAGTTCCTTTTGTCCGCGGCCCAACAGACCATAGACATTGACTTCCCCGTTCTCAATTCCGATGACGGCACTAGTACCAGCATACGTCGCATCACCTTCACTACCAGTTCGATTGCAAAAGACGACGATAATTTCACCCTCGGTCTCGGCGCGGATGAGCGGTTCCAGGCGGGTGACCCAGTAGGTCAAGGTATCCATGTCAGGCTCATTGGGCATGCGCGAGAACATGCGAGACTCCTCTCTGGTCATCCATGCCATGGACATTATGACGATGTTCGTCTGCATTTCCAGGACGTGGAAGGCGAATTCATAGGCATGCCACGGTGCCTCGAATTTGTAAGGATTGATGTCCATGCAGATTCCGATGGAAGTATTTCCCACACCGGGGATGAAGCCATGATAGAAGCCTTCGCCTTCGAGTGCCCATGACTCGTCGGTATAGTAAAGAAACGACTTTCGATAGTTGGCAATGGTTTCGCCATCGGCGTTTACAACAATGGCCGAGTTGTAATATTCCGGGCCAGTCGGCCACTTGGGAGAGACGTCGACTTTTTCCGGATATCCGGCAGTGACGACGCATTCGTACTTCAAGGCCATGGTGCGCGCCCAGAGGGAAGTGATGCCAGATCCCGAGGGCTCGAGGAACGGAGAGATCTCGTGCAGCGACCTGAAGTTGTATCCTAAGTTGCATGCATCAGCAGACTGGACGACACAGCAAGCGACCAACAATCTCAAAAGTCGGGACAAAGCACGTCATGGGTGATCAATGTATACAAAGGAGCGGCATGACGGACGTGTGCAACACGGGAAGCGAGTCGCGTGCGACATTGTTGCCCAGCAAAGACAGCATCTTGCACCCGCCGTTGCACACAGATGTTGTAGCATGCACCTGACGGCTCCAGTTCCCGACTGAGAGACGGTGAGGAGAAAAATGGACGGGGTTTATTGTGCTATGTCAGACTTACCCGTAAAAGCCAGTTCAGGTAGCACCATGAGGTCCAGCTCCTCGACGTTGGCCTTGGACAGGACGGCATCGGCTCGGTTCAAGTTGTTCTCGATATCGCCCACCTTTGGCGCGAACTGGAGACAACCGATGCGCATCTTGACGGCGTCAGTCACTGCAAGACCAGCTTGCTGTGAGAGATTTCGAGAAAGACGAGAGGGTGTATCGGTCCCCTTTTTTCTTGTCCAGCGATGTTGAAGGAAGGATCGCGGCTCGAATCGTCGGGCGGGGTTGGCTAAGTTGGCGGCGGACCAACTTAGGAATACAGTGGTTGGTAGCGACGCTCGTCTTCTCTTTACCGCTGTGCGCGCTCCGTCGTCGTCTCTCAACAACACCAACAACTCCAGCAGTAGAAAAAGACGGCAGCAACAGTGGTACGAATGTCAGAGTCTGTACATGGGATTGGGAGCTAATCAACTAGTACAACGTCAGAAAAGGAGAATTGAGAAGTTCGCACACAGGCTCGGAAATGGGGCGGCCTGGAGAGAAAAGGGATCTACTATTCGTATTGTGGGTTGGTCCTCAGCGCCTAGTTACGGATACTCACGCCGCCAGAGGAATCCTCCAAGAAGGAACAGACAGGGCTCCTCAAGGTCAGGCTGGTAAGTGGTCAGTGGTAGGGCATCAGCAAAGAGGGCGGAGGAGAAGCAGGCGCCCAAGAAGCAAAAACCGACTGACTGGCTGGCTAGAGACATTGCACACACACACGGACAGCCGTTGAACGGGGCGGTGATGCAGCTTGGCTCCAGTGGCTTGCCGGTGACAGCTTCAACCAGTCAGAGGGCGGCTCTAGGCGCTGGCCGCTGCAAAACTACAGGGGGGGGCCAGCCACCGCACCTACATAGGTAAGCTGAATGCATGCAATATCGATATTTCGTGTGTATCGACCAGGCCAGTAAAGGACTCCGAGATATGTACCGGACCACGACGATGAGAAGGATTGAATTGAGGGGGCTTTTTCTGGTCTTGCAGCGGCTGGTGTTGACTGCTGCCACTTTTGAATATATCATTTGGAATATATCAAGTTGTTGTGCGACCCCTATTTGCTTGTTGATCTGCTCACTGTCGGGATAGATGGACTGCGGACATCTGTTGTCTTTATGAAGTAATGGCGAAATGGCGAAATGACGAGAAAGCAAGATGGGCGACATGGGCGACATGGGTGAGCCAAGCAAGCCAATTTAGCGAGCTTTACTCCACTGGCAGCCTCGTTGGGTCGCGCGCGTTCGGCGCTCCGTAGCACCCCGATCATCACCCGCTGGCGCATTCAAACCATGTCCGCCATCGCACGAGCCCTCAAGGTCGCCGCTGCCGAGCATGATGTGATGAAGAAACGCTGGACTTCTGCACTCAAAAAAGCTGCAATGCAACGGTTCTCGACTGTCGCCAGCCCGACGTGCGCCCCCATCCCCAATCAAGCTTTGCCAGAACGAATACACCCCACTAGTTGGTATAAAATACTGCCCAGCCCCCAACATGGCACTTGTTTCGTTTCGATTTTTTTTTTTTTTTTTGTTGTTGTTGTTCTTCCAAGCAACGGAAACTGTCCGCGCGTGCCTCTGTTGAAAATCGCAAAAGGCGAGCACGGACTGCAGAAGACGGAGAAACATTGCTTCTCGCATTGGCAGTTGACAGGCAAGTACGGCAAGTCAAGCCGGCCATGCATACATGAGACAATGCAGTTAATATAAGTGCACCCACACCCTGGCAAGGCTGCGCTGCCAAATTTGGCCACACAATTGCGGCCGAGGATATGAGAATGCGCCTTGTCTTGGAAACCGCTTTCCCATGTCGCTCAGAATGTTACTTAGTTGCCGAACATTTGGTTATGACCTTGTTACCCCATCTGACCAGCTCTGCTCGACTTCTGTTCATAGTATTAGCTGCTAGGACGGTCATATGCTACAGTGAATGTGAGCCTAGTAGCGGTCTGGCCCAAAGTTTGCTCTCGGGTGTTGCCAAACTTGTTCTTTCGTAGCCCTCCTCCGTCTCCGTCGAGGAGAGAGACACTGACTGGTATTAGTCTGGGTTATTAGTCTGGGGAAACGACACACCATGGAGACGCGGCTTGACAGCTTGACAGGCAAACAGGCTGGTGCCCTGTCGGAAAGACTCCGTCAAGGCGCAAATCAAATCCTCGTCCTTGTCACATTTCTGCCAGACCGCTGCCCCACGCGCGGCCTCATTGGCCCAAAGCGCATCCTACAAGCACACCATCTCTCGTCAAGGGACATTGGTTAGTGTATAAATTGATGTGCGCTTCTCCTGCAGCTTATGGTATAGCCCGCCCGAGCACATATTCCGCAGCCCTCCCCTCCCTTCCTTTCCCGTCCCGTCTCGACTGTGACTGTATAACTGGAAAGTGACTACACAATGCGCGGTAATAGACTACCAATGACAAGTTCTCTCCCAAAAAGTCGGCCATCCTTTTGGGTGCCATCATCATGTTGTGTAACGCGACATGTGAGTTTTTCTTTCCTCGTCCCGAAATAAATACCGCTCATGACACGCAAATGCCGTTTTCAATTCACGACATTTCCGCGTATTATTTACTCAGCGGCGAGCAGAAAGCTCAAATAGCATCAGAAAGCGCTTATTTCGCTCCCCAGCGCAAAAAGAGCACTGTAGACGGCCCGTGCCGGCCATGTATGGACCCAGACAACTAACCCGGTTACCTGATATCTATGCGTACCTACTTTTGGTCGTCCTTGGCAGCCCGGAGCAGCGCGCCGCCCCATTGCCAGAACATCTTTGACGCCAACGGGTTCTCGTCACCCGGAGATGAAGACTTATATCTGCCAGGGACAACCGGAAGCCCTGCGAAACCCGAAAATCAAAACGTGTACATTAAAGCGCATATTCCCCCGTTCTCCTTCACATCTTACCCTAGACCTTTTAACATCAAATGCATGTTTGTAAATCGTGACAGCAACTCGTCCAACATCCCCATGGCTAGTCGGCCAAGCTGTTACATCGCAGCACCCTCTCTGTCACGCCACAAGCCCCGAGCCGCCCGCGCAAGGCAAAGCAATGGTACCTGTCAAGTGGTATTCCTGCACAAGAAGGAGGATTTGTCGGGCTCATTGGACAATCATTCAATCGCACACCGCCAATTGCCAAAGCACGTCTTTCACACTATTTCTCACCCAGAGACGTGGCGCATTGCTAGCCGCTGGGAGGTATAGCAGGCTGGCTCCCAGCGGCTGTGACGCTTCCGGGACTGGACACCTGCCTGCCCAACTATTACTGTTAAAAGATGTGTGAAAACTAAAATTAAAGACAAATGGGCTTTCATTATTGAATTTTAGGTATAAGTTAGATATTTTCCCCATCTCTGAAATATAGTTGCTGCATCATCTGACCTCTCGTGCGCAGGCATGATGGCGGCGTGTAATGCCAACGCCCGGCTCGCACCGCATCAACCCTCAGTTGTCCTACCCAACTGCACAAGATTTATCGTAGGTTGTGTAAATATTTTCATGCAATGGTTCATGCAACTCTGCAACATTGACTGCAATGCGAACTCCGCCGCCTATTCCCAATTACTTGGTCGGAATTCTTATACATTGCTGACGGCTTACCTCTTCGCGTTGGCACAGTGCATGGTATTCCGACACTTGAACAAAAATACAACTACGTGCTTGCAGCGTACTCTGTAACCGTTGTTTTTTTTTTTTTTTTTTTTTTTTCACGTGGCTCTCTAATACAGACACACGCTGCTTTCGAAGAGATGGGCACATTTGCTATGCCTACAAATCGTTCAGGCAGACCCGGCGCGGGAGCCTCGATGGCATCGTGACCCCTCTTCGGCCGACGCATGTAACCTGTAACCTCTTTGTCTGCAGACTGGCATAGCGCAGGATCATTATATTATGTATATCGTCATGTCCAATCACACTGATGATCCTGTCAACTTGACGGGCATGCATGCCCACTGAAAGCCATTACCGGCTATCGTCAGTGGCACGCCACCAAGCCACGAGGCGGCAAAAAATGCAGGTGGAATGAGCAGCGAATGATCACGATTACGTTTAAGTTGTTGCGATATTCGAAAACTGTCCAACAGTGATACAGGCGGTTGCCACTCGTCAGTCGACTGATTCAGAGTCATCGCAGTCTTTACGAGGTCAGCTGCCAACTTTCGGGGAAAATGCCGTCCTTGCATTTTGACGACCCCTGTCGCCTCAACCTTGGAAATTCAAGCAAGCAAACAGCCAAGCTACAGACAGGGTCGATAATCCGGGGATGAGCATGTCTCAGTCCCGGATTTCGAACACGAAACCTGCGCTGGCCTCTGGGAATCCAGGTGTTTTATCGTTCTTCAACAAGGCCCCTTCCCGCGTCGCTTGCTTGTTCCAAGCTCGACAGGGTATCACCAACAATGCGGCAAGGCAAGGACTCACGGAGGCAGGGAGGGTACTGGGGTAACTTTGGGTTAGTTTGCATCAGTGGCTGCTGCTTGCCAGCGACGACGAACTGCAGCACTGATCATTGTCGATCATCATCACCATGTACACTTTTGACGAGAGGGTGTGGCAGTGTTTTTTTTTTTCGACGGCGCTGCAATGCGCATATGTCTCGCTACAAGGGGTCCGAGATACTTGACGGCCTGCCCCGGCTCAGACTCAGTTCGAGTGTGTGACCACGACGAGTCACGGCTCGAAGCAGCGCGGCGGAGATGCATCGTCCGGAATCACCCACGTTAATGTGACATCGCCGTGTCCCATCTGCTTGTCCCTGCTGGCTTCGCCTCGTGTCTTTTTTCGCCAGTTGCCACGGCTAGCCGCATAGAACAGGCGCGGAAAGCAAGAAAAAGACGTTTTATCGCTCGCTTCCGTTTCCTGACCAGCATGTGCAATGTTGTGCTGCCCGGAACTGACCATGCTAGCCTTGCATGGGTGAGTTGGTGGTTGACACATTTGACACAAGCCCAGCAAAACGAACAAACCGACATCGCCGTATCCGTAGTATGGTACGTATCAATTTCCAGTGCGTACGTACGCGCGGCTCAATTTGAGTGGTTCGGTCGTTCACGGTCTCTTTCGGCCGGTAGATGGCAACAGGAAAAAAACAGCTCCAGTATGTTTGCTTGCTCACAGCCCACCAAGCACAGCGAGAGTGGCCTGATTTCTGCATCTGAGTGTCTATCTTGCCGGAAAAGGAGAAGATCATGTCTAGGCAGGATTTGCTTCACGCGCCCACGCGCATTCTGGTACTCCGTAATGTTGAGGGCAACGGGCGAGTTAAGGCTGCTGGTAGAGACATGGACACATGGGGCACTTACACTGCGCATAGCGGGCAAGGTAGAGTACACCGACAACCGAGTAATAAATCGCCTACTATTTACCCAGCATGCAGGGGGGATGAATGATGTGTGCGGTGGAGTTGACTTGGGTCCGCGCGCAGTACGTCTTCATAGGGAAGGAGAAAAGGTCAGCAAAAACTCGGGCGAGAACAAATTGTAAATAATAACCAACTATTAAATATTAACTCGACGTGGGGCCACATCTCTAGCTGAGGCTTGAGACGCTAGAGGACGGGTAGGTAGGGTTGCATCGAGACGTGGGCGCTTAGATGCAGCTTGACAGCCAGTCGGACGACGGCCTGGGGCTGGGGCTGTCTACGGGACCGAGCTGACCAGCCATTCAGATCTCTCCATGATGGGGCCAACTAGCAGGGTGTGGGCGGCGACGTGGAGAGAGGACAAGGTCGTCCCATACTCTGCAGAAAGCGGGTGGATGGTGTGGTTGTTGCAGCCTCGTTGGGCCCTGGCGAGGCACACGCGCATCAGTTGGTGTCTGTGATGAGGTAGGGCCATGTCCACTCACTCTTTATTAATTGAGTTTCTGATTGCCTCTGTTCCTCCTGCGCGATCCATCTCTGCCCTGCGACACCGTTCGGGACTTTTGTAGCTGTTATAGATGTGAAGGATGAGGGAAACCAAGCCCTGGTACGTGAGATGCAACGGGCGCAGCTTAGCTGTCCAGTAACGGGTGCCATTTAAACGCTCAAGTTGGGAAAAAAAGTTTGAAAGCCAAGGCGGCGACGGAAAGCCAATCTCGAGGAGAGCAATCACTTCCCTCCCCCTCCTTCCTTCGTTGCCTTTCTTTGCCTCTGCCTCTGCCTCTGCCTCTCAACTCTCCTCCCAATCAGTGCAGCATCCGTTGTGGACATGCGGCCCAGAGACAAGCGCTCCATACATCCAAATCCGTCTACTTCGTAAGCCATCTAGCCATCCATCAACGTCCTCCCCCTCCTCCCTCTTCCTACCCCCCTGTTCCAAGAGACCATTTGTCCTTATTACTTGGCACACTGCAGATGGCTTGCTTCTAGTATGGTCTTTTTTTCTTTGTTCCCCTCCATATCGTACTTCCTACCTTCGATGTGATTGTTGGTTCCTCTTTTTCATGTCCCCCCCCAGCCACCACGCTGCCATCGCCCCCATACCCTCCCTCCATCTTCAGCACATCTGACTCCGCCCTGTCTCTCTGTCTTGCTTTATTCATTTGGCGTACGCTCATACTGGCTCGCTGCCATCTGCGGCCCATTCGGAGAACGGTACCATTATTCTGGTGGGGGCTAGTTACTGTTCCCGTCCTGCAGTTGCCTCTCCTCCTGGGGGGCCTTTTACCGATCAGGTAACTGGTCTCTGCTCCCAAATACGTACTCTATACTATTTGCCTGTACCCCATGTTGATTTCTCTTCTCCCCATTTCTTTCTCGACCATTCCTGTCTCCGTCTTGCCCTCCTGTGATATTCTGTGCAACGCTTGAGACTTGCAGCTAACACCGCGTTGCACCGGGGACGCACCTTTCCGCTACCCTGCCTGTCTCTTCTCCTCTTTATGAGGGGGCCCAGGCAATTAATACCCGTCATTACATCCCTCGCCCATTTTTTGCATCCCCTCTGCCCGTTATAACCTGATAGCCCCCATCTCCCATCAATCACGCCGCCACAAACTTTCACCACAAAGGCCCTCGGAGCGCCAGCCTCAGTTGACCTATTCAACTATTCCGCATAAAGCTAGCTGGTGGTTTGATATTTCTTCGATATTTGCGACTATCCGAGTGTGCCCTCGAGAGCCTTTTTCATCAGCTTATTCTGTCTCTACAAAATTCTGCGTAGAGCGTGCTCCCCTCAACATTGCGATGCCCGGCGGCTCAGCTGGTCTGTAGCACTGCCCACGGCATTGCAATACACCCTGGCCACGATTCTGTTTCATTTCTGCGTTTATCCTCGTTTCTTACCTTCGCTTTGATTTTTTGGATACCCCTAAAGCCCTCAGCGCACAATGATTTTCTCAATACGGGCATCTTACCTCATCACCCTGGTGTCCACCGCTCTAAGCGCCCACGCTCTGCAGGTGGCTCCTGGATCGCCTTGCGCACATAAATGCCTGGGCTCGCCCTCCGACAACAACTGGTCTGCTTCTGACTCAAATACAAACTCGAGCGAGATTGCTTGCTTCGATGACCAATTCTCTTCCACCAAGGTTGGTCTGAAGTACAAGCAGTGCCAAGAGTGTCTCCAAACAAGTACGCGGGGCAACTGGGGCGAAACCGATGCCAAGTGGTTCGTCTGTAAGTTATACGATACACATGCATCCACCTAGATTACAACGGTGATTTCTAACACTCAGCAATAGATAACGCCCGTTTCGCACTCGACGTTTGTTTATTTCATACGCCCAAGGAGAGTGATGACAAGGCAGTGTCATCGTGCTCAACCAACCAAGCATGTGAGAGCTTGAAGGAAAGTCTTACCTACGACAATTTAGCCGATACCCAGAATACAACCTGGAATTACTGCTTCGACGGCAACGGTGCTTTCATGGGGGGATCAGAGCGCGCCAAATGCATGCAGTGTCTACGAGATAGCCAAAATCAGACGTACCTCGCAAACTGTAAGTCGCCCAGATGCAGCCTTCCCCTACCACACGCGATTTTTGCTCACATCATTACCAGTTATAACGGCACTGGAAGCAGGCTGTCGCCAGCAACCAGAAAAGGGAATCGCCATTGGTCTGAGTGGCACTGTGTTTACAGACCACGCCGTCCAGATCACCGATCCAAACAACACGCCACATCCTGACAGCGATAAGTCACCCGGTCTTTCTACTGGTGCCATCATTGGCATTGCCGTCGCCGTCATCATCCTCATTCTCATCGCCGTCGGACTACTCCTCTACTACTGCGCGCGCGAGCGAGAAAGCGGCAACTGGGAACAAGACTATTACGACGGTGACACCCCTCCAAACGACTCCATCTTCGCCGCTCGCTACGACATGACCCAGGCTAGGCTCCGGGCTGAGCAGCAGCAGCAGCAGGCGGAGGCTGCGGCCAAGTTCCAATACCTTCGTTACCATGAGAACGTCCTGGCGCCAGAGAAGCCACGCACCTTCAACACAAGCGGCGATTACTATGACCACATGGAGCGCTGCCGGCCCGCACAGGATCAGGAGCAACCCCGCGGTCGCAGCGCATACCGCATGGATGACCTGTCGCCCACCGCGCCCAAACGCTCTTCCACCGCGACCCTCCCCTCGCACCATGCCGTGAAGCGGGATCCGAGCTCCAGTGGCACCATCACCGAGTCCCGCTCCGGCTCCGATGTCGTGGCCACTCGCCGAAGGCCCTCACCCCCCGCCTCAGTACACAAGCCCGTCCGCAGCAACACACCCGACTCCTTTGCCGTGCAGGTGTACCTTGACGCCGCCGCTGAGTCGGCACGCATGGCTGCTGTCGCCGCCGCGACCGCCAAACCACCCTCCATCTCCTCGATGCCGGCGAACTCGCCAAGAAACAGCAAGCGGCGCTCTATACTATCCATGTTCTCACTGCGCAGCGGCAGCAGCAACACCTCCAAGAAGAGCAAGATATCCTCCGCCAACTGCAGCAGCCAGCAGCATCCCCCACCAAGGTACATCTTTCAACCCCCGCTCACCAGTGACAAGGCCTTTCACGGGGACAAGGGCATCTCCCGGCCTATACTTGCCCGGGAGGAGCCACGATTCCTCGAGGCCGGCATCGCTGGCCGACCAAACAACGTCGCTCCCTCAAGGGCGCCGCCGCGACCTCCCAGTCCCGCGGACAAGTACGCCGAGTACGGTGAGGTGCCTATCAGGAGCGGCAAGGAAGACTTGTACGGAATGTGAAAGAAGAGGCCAGTCGAGGAGAAGTATCCCCCCGCCGCAGGGGCAGTCCACTCACAACCCGCCGTTAAAGTTGTTGTACGCGGTGAGAAAACAAAAACTTGTCACGAATTGCATCTTTATTCATTTCCCCAAGTGGTCATTTCCTACATCATTGCACGCCTCATGTTGTTGATCTTAGTTTGATATTTACTCTTGTTGGTGTTTTGGGATCGAGGAGCTCTTTCATGTTTGCCATCTATCACAGTACCATTTGGGCAGCCATCGAACCTTTACGGGCTAGAAATTACATGTCTGCGAATTTCTATTAGTCAACACCTCGTTATATCCTTTATTCAATAGTATATCTTGGTCTTTACAAGCAATAATATCATTGTAATGTGTTTTTATTCATGTGCAGCGGGCAGTGCTATTTGTGGGCTTGTTATACATAGATTGTCTACACGGCTCCTCGAGCCAGGTCGTACAAAGACCGCAATCGTCATGCTACAAATCTACTACCCGAGGCGGCGTCCAGCACCTCTCGTCCTCCAGGCGTCCGGGAGCGGGCCGGAGCTGACGCCCGTGCTGCTACCCGACGGCATATTGCCACTAGCGCCTGTGACACCAGAATGGGAGACGGCTTGTATGCGACCCTCTACGGCCCTCACGAGGCGTGTCATGAACTCGGGCGTCTGCAGGATATTGGGCCCGCCCCCAAGCTGGGGATAAATTCTGGTCAAAAACTCCCACATGTGGGCAGCCACAAGGCCATAGAGACCCAGAAAGAAATCTTGAATGCCGCCGGGGAACAGCAGGCTGATTCCAATCATGGCATACGGCATCAACGGCGCCGGCAAGGGAACAAACATGTAGTTGACCTGCAGGCCCTGCTGCTGCTGCGTGGCGGTATAAGTCAGCGCGACGATGAGGCCGCGCGTCAGAGCAAAGAAGGGCATGATGGCGACAAAGTAATCAATGATCTGACAGGCAGGTTAGTCAAATGTTCAAAAGTAGACTGGCCCGTCGCTGGCAAAAGAAGAAAAGAAAGAGGAGAATCTACGACGAAGAGGGGGAAAGCAAGAGAAGGTGAAGAGATGTAGGGAGCTAAAAAACCACTCGAGCAAATTAGAGTCACACGAGCCATCCATATAGACATCCCACCATGCCTGCACCGCCCACCAGTCCGGATTTTTGCGAATGATGGACCAGCGAGAAGTACAGGGGTAATCTTCCTCAGTTCCAGGAACCGTGACAGCTGAAGAGGCAAAGCACTGTCCGGGCAGATATATGAGGTGTGGTACCAAGCGTACCAAGTGTTGAAGACAAAGGACGAATTGCAAAGAGGCAAGCGAGCGAAGCGAGGACGCAAAACAAGATTCAGACTTACTGCAATGAAGCTGCACACGCAAATGAGATACCAGATAAAGTCCTCTTTGCGTCGCATCCGCGGGTGGCCCGTCTCCATATCGCTGGCCGCCTTGTAGAAAAAGTACGTGTCAAACAGCAGGCCAAGCTGGGGACCCGTGATGAGGAAACCCGTCGCGAGGCGCCATATTTGCGGCGGGAACCGCAGGATATAGCTTGAGTGCCATCCCAGCCATTGACTGGGAACGAAACCAAAATATAGACCGACCGAACTCAAGAACATCCACGTGGCCAAAGTACTGCGCAAGCGGTTAGCATGGAATTTTGTCTGTGAAAAGTTTGGAAGCGGGAGCGAAGAAAGACATACCGAGAGATGGGCGGCAAGCGCCAATACTGGTCCGAAATTGTGTTGTCAGGCATGATGTGCTACGAAGAGAGAATATTTTCGTTTTCTCCTTGTCTTGGGTGTCCCGTGGCAGTGAAGCTTTGGTTTGTTTCTCCAAAAGCACACCGCGCGAAGGATGAAATGAACAAAGCTATCCCGTGCGATAAAAAAGAAGCCACCGTGTCAAGCTTCTTCGTTGGTGCGGGGATAAGAAAAAAAAAGAACGAGCGACACACAAGCTCCAGGCAACGATGGGGAGGAAAGAGATGTCTTGCGTAGCTGGCCTGCTATCGTGTCATCTTCGTTTTTTTTTTGTTCAGGCAGAGTTTTGGCGCAAGCTGGCCAGTGTGCAAGCTGCCGGTTTTGTGGACCGGCGGAAATTTCGGAGCTTGCCCCATTCGGGCCACTTGCCATTAGGCGGGCGTAGGCATTTATCGGGGCGGATGCAGCGTACCCTGAAGATGTAAGATGTACAATATCAGTTCATAATGGTTTCAATATGGGGCTCTTGGTCGTCTAATGGAGGCAGTTGGTGTGTAGAGGCCTCTTGAGTACAGCTTTTTCGAGATTTGAAGGAGGGAATGCTGCGCCGCTCGAGCACTGTGTTGCCCTAGAGTGCTGCTTGGTCGCGTGCCCGCTATTACATCAACACCCATACCGGCAGTTTCTTGCTCCGTCACATCACACCATACATTGATTTCACAGCCATGCCTTCATATAGCCCCCTCAAAACAGAAGAAGCCAATGCGGCGAGTTGGGAATCAGCCAAAGGCGCCGGTATAGGAGCAGCGAAATGGGGCGCAGGCGCTGCTGTTCTGGCTGCTGTAGGCCATTTCTGGTCGCCAATCTACCGAGGCACCACGGTGCAGTTCAAAGTGTACGCCGCGCATCGCTCGACGGCCCTGCCGCGCGTTTGCTAACCAAATCAGATTCGTGCAAATGTCTGCCATGGTGCTCGGCGGCATGATTGAGGCCGATCACCGTTTGCGCCTCTACGAGTACCAGATGCGCATGCAAAGGCGCGTTCAAAGGGAGCAGGCAAAGTGGGAGCGCTATCAGGACGAGTTCATCCAGGCAAATAGCAGCAAAAAATAAAACGCGTCGACAGTATCTGAATCATTACCCATGTGGAACCGACAAACTACCAAAGCCATCTTTTACACCTACATCATTCCATCTCCACCCATAATGTACGAATAGCCAGATTAATTAGACCAAAGAGCAACTCCAACGCCATATGCAAATGCGTTACATTTTCTTTCCGAACCCATTACTTTGCCTGGAAACGCTTGGGATCCATGTTTATCTTGCAAAGCCGCGCAACGCAGCCGCTCAGCTGCAGCAGTGTTTGCACACCCTCAAGAATCTTCATGTGTGTGAAGCCAATCTCCTTGATAAACTCGAGCTTTGAATACTCGCTCAGAGTCGGTATCGTCTTGGTCACCTTGAACATGGTGCTAATAATATCGTGACTCGAGTATCCGAGGTCCCACAGCTCGCGGAGCGTGTCAAGAGCCGAGTCGATGTTGCCCTCGTAGCAGGCCTTGAGCATCGCCTGCACCTTGATCGGGTGCGGCGAGTCCACCACCTTGAAGACGTTGTCACCTGAGACGAAGCCAAAGCCGGAAAAGGTCGATTGCAAGTTGTTGATGGCCTGTCGCATGTCACCCTCGGCGCTAAAGACCAGGGCGGCCAGCCCATCATCGCTGTATTCCACCTTTTCGGCCTCAATGATTTGCATCAGCCGCTTGACGACTTGCGCGTCGGTGAGCTTGGCATAGCGAAGAATGGCGCATCGTGACTGAAGGGGCTCGATGATTTTATTGGACATGTTGCACGCAAAGGCAAATCGTGTCGTGTTGGAGTAAATCTCCATGGTTCTTCGCAGGGCCTGCTGCGCGCCCGATGTCATGCTGTCCGCTTCGTCGAGAATAATGAGCTTGTGGCGGCCGGGAGGCAGGGTCACCTTTTTTTGTGCAAAGCCCTTGATGCGGTTGCGCACAACGTCGATGCCTCGCTCGTCACTGGCGTTGAGCTCGAGGACAGCCTCCTTATACGACTCGCCCAGGAGCTCACGCGCCAGGCAGAGCACGCTCGTAGTCTTACCAATACCAGGCATACCAGAGATGATGACGTGCGGCATGTTACCCTCCTTGGCAATAATCTTCAACCGCTCAATCGTTTCGGTGTTGCCTACGACATCGTCGAGAAATACGGGACGGTACTTTTCGACCCTGTGCGTAGCCTCTTGTCAGCTGTGCTCCGAGGCAGGGTGACAGTTGCCTAGGCTGACTTACCATGGTAGCTCGTAATTGGCTGATCCATTTGTAGAGGCTGAGAGGGCTGCCTTGGAAGCAGCGGTTGAGGATTCGCCCTTTTCTTCGGTTTTGGCGGCTGGCATCGTGGAATCGTGGGCTGGTGGAATAATGAGAGTGCAGCAAGCGGCACTTTACGCGATGGGAAGACGCGTTTGGCGGTTCTAGTTGCTAACATCCCACTGAAAGCTCATGTGGTCCGTGCACACCAATCGCTGTGGTGAGCCAGGCCCAGAAAAAAAGTTGTCCAGCCTCCAACGCTGGACTTGTGAATTTTCGACACTACAAAATTTGGTCGATTACTTTCAACGGCATCTACTGCGCATGATCCCTCTTGCGGCGATACAAAACAAGCGCTTTTCGAGCGACGAATCTTAAAACCACACTTTTTCACGAATCAAAGTACCGACATCATGGGTGTGGCGAAGAAGACGAGAAAATTTGGCCTTGTATGTTGCCTTATCGATAAGCTGCGACGAAATCGAATACTAACAAAATAATGTTTACAGGTCAAGCGAGTGCTTGGGAAAAACGATGCGCGACTAAAAGAGAACCAGGCGAAGCAGGAGGCTCTACAAAAGAACAAAGAGAGGCGGACGGTCCAGGGCGAGTTGGTGCGCGAGGTGCAGCAGATGCCCAGCAACATGTTCTTCCAGCACAACGAGGCCCTCGTGCCGCCCTACAACGTCCTCGTCGACACCAACTTTCTCAGCCACACGGTGCAGCGCAAGCTGTCGCTACTCGAGTCCATGATGGACTGCCTTTATGCCAAGTGCAACCCCATCATCACCTCGTGCGTCATGTCCGAGCTCGAGAAGCTCGGCCCCAAGTACAGGCTGGCCCTGCGAGTGGCGCGCGACGAGCGCTGGCAGCGCCTGACCTGCGACCACAAGGGCACTTACGCGGATGACTGCCTCGTCGACCGTGTGCAAAAGGACAGGATATACATTGTGGGCACAAACGATAGAGCGCTGAAGCAGCGGCTGCGCAAGATTCCGGGTGTGCCGCTCATGAGCGTTGCGCGGGGCAAATATGTGATAGAGAGGCTGCCCGGAGCGCCGGATTCGTGAAATATGACGGAATACTTTTTTCTATTGGAATTTAGCGAATTGAATTTACGAGACATCATATTCGGCTTGAGATGTGATCGTAGCTGAAACCAACATGTCGGCTCTGGACTTGATACTGAAGAGACAGCGATCCATATCCGAGGATGATGAAGGAAACTAATTGCGCGCCTACCACTAAACTACATGCTCAACAGATGTTCATGGCTTCGGACGGATTTTTCTTGTCAGCTGGTATAGAGAGTCAGTGATCTTAAGTGGACTGCCTGTTCCAAGGGATACACTACTTCGGTCCATCATGAAACACCCAAAGCTCCGACATGAGCTAAAAAAAGAGACAAGATGCGCGCAACATGTCTCATGTTCGTGATCTACGAATCGCCCGCTGCTGTTGTTGAGACGAAGCGTGTCAGACATGGGACGGATCATTATGCGATCAGTTCATGAAGCGGTCTTGCGTTGCGCAAGTCTTTACCCGCGGCTCAATGGTGCCAATGTCCTTCATTCGTTCCACATGAATATAGTCGCGCTGATCCGAGAAGACGAGTGTTGATTCAAGGAAGATTTGTCATACACGCTCATTTCTGTCTATGCTACCGCCGAATTCCGTGGTCAATTCGGGAGCTCACGACTGCTGTGATTGTATTTCGGTTGACGTTTCGGAAGATGGTAGTAGATGGTTCCATCAACTTTAGCGGCTATTATGCTGCAATCGGGCATATTATATTTCATGGTGCTCATAGACTGCCACCTGATCGTCCTGCGGAAAACCCCTGGATGCGGTCGAGAACGCGACGTGAGGTGAAACGGCATGTGAGATGCCGGTATCATGCATAACAACTCAAATTCACTCCTGAATATCTTGCAGGATATGTAATATATAAAGTAGTCATTCTTTCTGATTTTATGTGTGAGTTCTAGTGCATCCTCAAGCAGTCCATTCCTTCTTGTCTATACTACCGTACTGATTATTTGAGCCGAAAAAAGAACTTACCCACGATATCAAAAAAAGAATACAAGACGAAGATTCCAGAACAATGAAGCTCTCACTCGTCATCACTCCTTGTCTTGCAGGCATGACTGTCGCCGCGCCCGCGATTGGCCCCGGTGGCCCAGCGGAAGTCCCCGGCGCCGTTAATGGACAAGCACCTGATGTTTCGGCCAAGGGACTGACTGATCTTTTCGGCTCTCTGAATCCGTCAGAGTCCAAAAATGGCAGCGCTCGTGGTTCGGCAGATGGGGCCGGTGACGGTGCAGGCGCCGGCCGCCTCGGAAATTTCCTGAACGACTCGCTGAAGAATGTGCTCGAAGGTCTGAATCTCGGGAACCTGGGCAGCTTGCTGGGTGGTATAGGGGGCGGAGGCAGAGGCGGGGAGAATGCTGGAGACAAGGATGGAGGTAATGATGGTGGCAAGAATAGAGGTAATGATGGTGGCAAGAATAGAGGTAATGGTGGTGACAAGAATGGTGATGACAAGAATGGCGATGACAAGAATGGTGATGACAAGAATGGCAATGACAAGAATGGTGAAGATGGTGACAAGAATGGTGATGATGGTGATAAGAATGGAGACGACGAAGGCGACAAGAATGGCGATGATAACAAGAACGGAGACAACGGAGGTGACAAGAACGGAGACGACAAGAACGGCGATGACAAGAACGGCGATGACAAGAATGGTGAAGATGGTGACAAGAATGGAGACAACGATGATGACAAGAATGGAGACAACGAAGGTGACAAGAACGGAGGCGACAAGAATGGTGATGATGGTGACAAGAATGGAGGTGATGGTGGTGGCGATGATGCGGGCAATGCCAAACAGCCACCAGCTGCACCGCCGGCTGCACCTTTAGACGGCTCCGCTCCTTCAAATCAGACTTTACCAAATGCTGGGGCCTCTACAAAGAAGAATGTTGAGCGCGTCTGAAGAAGAAAGTGTCTGGGCCAGGATGGCGCTCTCATGGTGTCAGATAAGTGATTGGCTGGTACAAAGCATGATACCGAACGCCCCAGAAACAAGACTGATAGTAGTACTATTATGAATCAACATAAACATAATTCTTGATTTTCAGAGCCTCTCGTCAAGCGAATCGAATGTATGATAATCCGTCTAAAGTATGAGCTCATTGTCCTGCCACTTGGACGTGGTTCAATAGTGTAATTGGCGGAGCGCAACTTGTTCGCTAACAGTCGCGAAATGACCCAAGTAGGTCCTTCGGTTAGGATTGGGTTAGATCTGAAACCATTCGATTTCATCAAAATGATATTGATCACAGGGGCAAGTTTGCAAATGTACATCACGTCTCAGGCAGATAGCGACAACGCGGCCCTCACCCACTTAAACTATCAGCGTCGGCGTTAAGGTTCAGACTTTGGTCTCGTAATCAACTTACTCATCTCAACCGATAAACGTGAGCTACCCGAACCAATAGTAGCTACATCTCTCGTCAATTTTAGATACAGTCTCATCGATAGCCTGAAACCCTCCAGGTAATTCCCTCCGCCACTGTTCCCCTCCTCCTGGCGTCGACCCCGCAACGCGCCATCGCATGGACTTTAGCCTCGACGGCAAGGCGCTCCTGTCGGTGCCGCCGCAGAAGCGCTCGCGCGTACTGCTGTCGTGCGCCCCGTGCCGCGCCTCCAAGCTCAAGTGCGACCGGAGCCAGCCGTGCAGCCAGTGCGCGAAAAAGGACCGCCCCGCGGCATGCGTGTACGCGCCCAAGCCCGTCAAGAGGAAGCCGCCGCCCAAGGGCATGTCGGCGCGGCTGAAGCGCCTCGAGGGCATGGTGCGCAACATGATGGAGGCTGAGGCCGCGGAAAATGCCGCCGAGGGGGGAAAGAAGACAGATGGTGAGGAGGAGGAGGAGGCGGCGGCGGCGGCAACGGATGCGCACGAGGCAAAGACGGCGCATGGACAGGTGGTGCGCAGTGTGCAAGGTTCGACGTACGTGGGAGCGACACATTGTTTGGCGATGTTGGAAGATGTGAGTACACTTATACTGACATGTCATCTTTTATTTCGGAGTTGGTGCTGACATTGCTTACTACAGATTGAGGATATGAAGACATATTTTGATGATGAAGATGATGAAGTGGAGGGCGACTCTCCAGGGAGGGATCTGGAAGCCGCTGAAATATTACTTAGCCCCCGAGGCGGGCCGGGCAGCCGAGACGAGCTCATTGGGAATATTCCAGAAAAATACATTGCTGACAGACTCATTATGCGATACTTTTCTTCTGCAAGTCCCTCGCAGTGTAAGACAATCGTCATGTTGGATATGGCCAATTAAGCTAATGAAGTTTACAGTTTGTGTGCATCGACCTACATTCACGAAGAATGCGAGTATATCCATTGCACTTCCCGATTGAAGAAATCAAACTAACAAAAAATGCAGTATGCACGATTCTGGCAAGATCCCGACAGTGCGTCTCTTCCTTGGATCGCTCAACTGTTCATGATCCTTGCTCTCGGTGTCATTTTCAACTACTTTTCCTCGCCAGAGGAGCTCCGCGCCGAATCCACAATCCCCGTCCTGCAGCGTATTCAAACGTTTCGCTCGTGTGCGGGCTGGGCTCTCGTCTGGAGCAAGTACACGAACCCAACGTCAGAAACCATCCCGGCCTTTGTCCTCTACGTCGAGGCGTACTTTTTGTTCAGCCGCGCGGCACAGATGAGCTGCTACACGCTCTCAGCCGTCTGCCTGCGTCTCATGCTCAAGCTGGGCATGCACCGGGACCCGAGCGGGCTCGCCGACCTCTCTCCGTACGAGGGCGAGATGCGCCGGCGGTGGTGGAGCATGGCGTGCCAGATCGAGCTGCTCGTGTCGTTTCACATGGGCCTGCCCAGCATGCTGCACGGCATCGAGTCGGACGTGGAGATTCACGGCAACTACCAGGACGAGGACTTTGGCGAGGAGACGGAGGAGATGCCGGCGCCCCGGTCGCTGCAGGACTACACGTCGCTGTCGTACTCGATCAACAAGACCAAGATACTGCGCGTGTTTGGCCGCATTGCGCGGCAGGCGCACGCGCTGACGCCGCCTTCGTACACAGACACGATGCGTCTAGACGTTGTGCTCAATGCCACGTGGGACGAGGTGCCGCCGTTTCTGCGCGTCAAGCCGCTGGACCAGTGCATCGGCGACGCGCCCATGCTGCTCATCCAGCGCTACGGCATCGAGGCCCTGTATCACAAGTGTCGCTGCGTGCTGCACCGCCGGCATCTCGCCGAGCCCGTCCCGCGCGCCGAGCACGACTACGCGCGGCAGCAGTGCCTCGAAGCCGCCGTCGCGCTGCTCGATATCCAGGTCACCATATGGAACGCGACGCGGCCGGGTAGCATGCTCAGCATGTGCGGGTGGTTCGTGACGTCGCTGTCGGTGCACGACTTCATGCTCGCCGCCATGGTGATTTATGTCGCGGCGCGCAGCGCGCACTACCCGGAGCACCCGACTGGGAGCGACGCGCGCTGGGCGGCGCCCGACGTGCGGCTGCGGTCCAAAGAGGAGCTGAGGATGATGCTGCGGCGGTCGCACGCCATCTGGTGCCGCGTCTCGTCCACCGTGGGCGAGCTGCGCAAAACAAGAGACACGCTGGCCATCATGCTGGCCAAGCTCGGGTGTCCCGTCGACGGCGAAAGCTATCCGACGGCGCCGCCTCCAAAGACGACGGCAGTGGGTGGCGGCATGTCCATGATGGTACCGCCGCCGCTACGGAATGAGACTCGGCTCGGACAGCAAGTGTTTACACCAGCTGCGCCACCGCCATCGCTGCTATCGAGTGGGCAACTTTCTTCAGTGGCTGCATCTACCAATCATGCTTACAGTGGCTCAGAGCCCACAACCGGATTTCACGGTATGGAACGCAATAATGATGCACACACCAAAGTTTGTCTGTGCTTTTCTGCTTGAATATACAGCTGACAGGATCAATCTAGGCACGATGATGAGCACAGACTTCTCGAGCTTTGATCTGCCACTCGTTGGCGATGACCCAACAGTCGTAACGTTTCCCGGACCAGAGGGGACGAGTTTCGGAGGGGACGCGACAGGAAAGGGCCTCTCAGCGCCTGAGGATAGTGGCGATAGCATCTTTGGCACAGTCGAATTTGACTCGTCCTGGATGGACGATGGCATGGACTGGGTAAGCTTACCCTCGGGTCAGCAATGACAGCAAACATTTACGTGCAAGGAGGCCAGAGGCTAATGTTTGATGTCGAACCTACAGGCACAGCTGGATGTCTTCTCCGCTAACAATGATGAGACGTAAGTCTTGGCGGCGATGCGCTCAGAGGAACGTATGGCGTTTGATCAACCTTGAGCTAAGGCCGATTAAAGGTCGGCTTGGCCTGAATTTGGGGAACCCAACGAGTACTTGCGTCATTTGGCCGTCGGACCAGTGCGAGTGCTTGGAAAGAACGGTATTGGTCTTGCTTGTCCGTGTCCGTATAACGTGTACACTATACAAACGACAGTTGGGATCCTGGTTTATGCTCGTGCTGAGATTACTGCCTAGTCCTTTGCCAGTTGGCGTGGCGGTACAGGAATTGTTACAGCCTGGTGTACATTGTAGGGTAGTAAGGGACTGAGCAGAGGTGAAGTCGCCAATCGTAGCCCTATAACGACCTTCTTGCACACGCGTGATTGTGTGCGTGTGGAGGAAAATAGACAGATAGGGGCGGCTAGTTGAGAGCGGGGGGTGAACTCGACTCTGGCTCCGTGCTCCCAACAACAGCAGTAATAGGCGTGCAAAAGTGAGACGACGAGAAAGAAGAACGGAACATCCAATTGTCGAGCCGAAGTGCGTGAAGTATGCATGAAGCTGTTTGAGGAAGTGGTCTTCACGTGACCAAGGGGCGGCATGCCATCAACGAGGTTCGAGGGGCTGCTTCACCAAACCTCAGGGGCTTCATCAACAGCAACAGCAGATGACTGCGCTGTAGTAGAGATGTATTCGCATCTCCATCCCTTTTCACTGATTCAGCGACTACGAAATTTTTTTGTTTCGCGTTTTCTATCACTTTGGCGCTTCTTGCCATGGCCCGCGAGGAGTAGTATAAATGAGTCGCAGCCAGTTCAGATTCGCCATCCACTCACCACAGAGCAGCGTGAGCAGCGACGGGATGATTTTATAGCATCCATCAATAAAGATGCAGTTGCTGCGCTTGCTTCCCGCTTTCATAACAACGAACGTTGCATTGTTTCTCCAGATGTGAAACACGGCAGCTACAATGTATGCTACTTTGTCACATTCCCTGCTGACGGTACCGAATGGGTGGTGCGAATTCCAATTAGCCCGTTGATCAGCGATGTCTGGGCCAAGGTGCAAAGCGAAGTCGCAACTATGCAGTAAGAGGCTTTTTCTGGCTCTACACTTCTCGCGAAAAGTTGACTGACAGATGCATCAAGATATGTTCAGCGCGAAACAAGGATACCTGTTCCGACAGTTCATGGATATGGCCACGGAGAGAGGCTGACAGCAGATCCTTCTACGTTGCAGGCATTTCTGATCCTGGAGAAAATGCCAGGCGAGTCGCTTCATTCTCACGAAATATCCGCCATTCCAAAAGAAAGTCGCATCTTCTTTTTCGCCCAGTTGGGCGACATTCTTGGACAGTTGCAACAGCTACATTTTCCCAGATCAGGATCCCTATACCCTGACTCCAAAAGCAGTGGCAAATTCACGATAGGCAATCCTCTCTACGTGATCGGGAATGACAACGCGGTGAATGTTGGAGTGTACGAAAAATCATCGACAACCTTCTCTAACGCATTTGACGCAGTCAAAGGCATGTTTCCTGTCCTGGAGCACGCCTACGAGATACCTATTTCAGATGAAGTGCCCGATCAAACCATCAAGCGTGAACTGTTTGCCATTGACAGTCTGGCTAGCTCACTTTCTGACAACACCCACCCCTTCTGGAGCCTTGATGCGCCGTTCATGCTAAGTCACGGCGATCTGAGATGCGAGAACATCATGGTGGACGAAAACATGAAAATAACAGCCATAATCGACTGGGAATGGGTAGTTATCCTACCACAACAGCTTTGCACGCCGCCAACCTGGGTCTTTGGCCAAAACTATCTAAGAGACTTGCACAACCGGGAGATATTCCAAGAGTTCCAGAGTGCCATCACCCAAGACAACGCTTACCATGAATACTTGCAGTACTGGAGATCCAATGTGCAATATCTGCCTCTTGCACAGATTTTACGGCACCCAGAGCTTCTTGTAAACATCTATTACACAGACGTATTTCCGCGGCTTCACAGCGAGCCATTCTCTGCAGTTGAGGCAAGCTTCTTCGCCGACGAGGAGCACAGGAAGAAATTCCAGGAGAGGCTGACAGTAGCAGAGCGCTACAATGAGTACCTCAAGGAAAACGATCTCTATGTTGTAGATGAAGTTTGGAAAAGCCAGCAGGAGTGGATTGAAAAGGCGGATAAACTACTTGCAGAAGTTAATAGTAAGCTAGCTGCCTACAAATCGAAACATACTATCTAGACTATTTCTTGTTTGAATCTTTTTGGATTTTCTCCTTCAACTGGTCACGTTTGGTTTCCAGGTCCCGCAAATGATCTCGAATGTTGGCACATGTCTCGAACAGCTCATTCATCATCGGGTTGATGTCTCCGGTCTCTCCCAAATCTCGCAGCGCTGTCGAGCTTGATGCACTCTGCGACATCATTCGCTGCTCCTCAGGCGTTGCGACGGAGACAACATCTAACATGCCTTGTATCTTATCCTCCTCGGCACGCCACTGCTCTATGAGAACTTCAACTTCTCGTAGCTCTTCCATCGTAGCCATGCTGGCAGTTTCCTAGATGCGCACAAAAATGAATTAGATCATGTGGATCTCTCGCGCCAGAACTCTCACCTCTTGATTTGCCATGATTGCAGCCACTGCCTGGACAGGAAGCGTTGCAGGTGTGAAGCTGCGATGAATGAGGGCATCGTGATCACTTATACCCCGCTCAAGGATTTGGCAAGAACATTGGCAAGGCAGCAGGAATAGGGCGCGTAGAGATGTGACACGATTGTCTGGTCACCGACTGCATGCTTTCTGTCCGACTTTGTATGTACATACATTGGGATGGCAAAGCAAACAGTCAATACTGATAGAAAAGCACAAGTAGGGATGTTTGGGGGGGATGGGTTGCACACTGAAGGGAATGGTGTGTTGGACCATATTCATCAAATATCTCTCCTAAGCTAATCATTGCTAGTGTTTTTTATTTTATTTTATTTTTCTTTATTCTTTCTTCAACTGATCATGTTTGGTTTTTTTAAGACTGCACGTTTTGTAGTCGGAATTATGTACACTGGGATAGCAGAGCAAGCAGTTAACACCGACCAAGGCACTAAAGCGCAGCGGGGATTGATTAGAAGGGGGGTGCACCGAAGAAGGAGGAGTTGGACCATATTAATCAACCTGATGGAAAAGAAAAATCCACACGCCTCTATATTAGCCCTGTGGCCACGGCTCAGTTTTCCGCATAAATAATTCATGGCCAAGGCCGCATACACGCAAAATTTGAGTAGCGGAAGACGGGGATTTGCCCACCTCGCCCTGTGGATCACGGCGGCTCCTCACATGGGAGAGTAGCAGAAAAAGTCATGTTTGCAAGCAAAACAGTCGAAGCTAATCGAGTCAAGGCATAGGGAGAGGGGGGCCCAGCGCAGGGGTGGGTGTCGGATACATTTGGGCGAGAGAGGTGCTCAAGTCTCCGCGTATTCTGACCATTTTCCTTGCTAGCTCCAGCCACGGCAGAAACAGGAACAAAAAGAGCGTGTTCGTAGGGAGAGAATCTCACGGCCGGGGGGGTAAGGAGGTAAGTAGTATTAAGGCTCCGAGGTGGGGGAACAGATTTGATGCTGGCCATGGCCCATGGTTGGCCATGATCCATTCGCCAACCCATTCCTTAATACTGCGAACAGCCCATTAATTGCTGCTCTTCCTTTTGCTCCTTCGATTCGTCTCGCCCGCTAGCCTCGAATCATGTTCCAATGTGCAAATTGCTAGCGCGTTTCCCTCTTCTTGATTCTGTTTTATTGGCTACGCGTCTGACCCAGATTACCCCTCTGGGTGGCTTTTCAAATCGCCGTCCTCTTTAAACTTTCCCGTCTCCCTTTCTTTTTGGTGCTCCGAGAGAGAGAACGCACTGCTGCTAGTTACTGCCCTACGTCGGGATTTATTAAAGGGGGAGAAGACCGAGCGACATCTTTGCGCGGAAAGCCCAAGACTGTCCGTGCTGCAAGGGATTAAGGTTAGATTCGGTCACAAGGACGGACGCAACAGCGAATTGAATGATGCCGTTGCGTCTCTCTTGACCTTTTTGTGCACTGACAAGGAAACCAAAAAAAAAAAAAAAGACAACTACACCCCCCCTCCGAAAACGCGTAAAAAATTGAGTTTACGCTGCGTGGAATATGTGCCCTGCACGCTGCTGCATGCATTTATCAGCAATTTTGGCGTTTCGGACAGGTCATCTTTCCATGGCCCCGTACCGACAAGAGTTTGTGCAGGATTTTTGTAAAATTTCCTGTTGGCTGCTGCTCTTTGTCTCCGCGTCATCCGTGGCAAGAGAGCAAATGACCGAGGCTGCAGCTCCATGATGGATCCGCGTACATTGGCGGCCAAGCACATACGGCTCTTGTGATATTATACGCGTTTTGTCTGTCGTTGAAATCGTTGATAGATTGAACCTCCCTCTGGTCAAGCTCTTCTCCCACCTATCCGACTTTTCTGCGAGGGGTTCCGTGACCACTGCTTTCAAGAGGTTTACAACTGGCCAAAAAAAAAAAAGCCTTCTCGCCTACTGGTAGATGTGCGCCCCTGTGGCTTGTGCTGAGTGGGCTTATTTGCCCGTGTAATTGCGTGCAGCAAGGTACGCAAACTTTATGGTGTGCTTGTTGTTTCCTGCTGTTTCGCCAGGCAAGGGAAAGCTTGACGGGAGGAAAAAAGCTCGACCAAAGCAGCCACTCACATAACTGATTCTGGTTCCCCATGTCAAATCATCAATGCGAGGACTGGGGCGCGCGCGCAGAGGTGAGATCAAGCGCCCCCAGTGTCATGCATGGGGAGTTTTAGTCTTGCAGTGACGTACATGATAATTAGAAATTGATAACAGGTTGAGGAACCCGATGCGGCTTACATGAGCATTTGAAAATTGATAAAAAGCCTGTGACGGGTCGGACATCCGATCGAGCGTGCGATGAGACAGACGTGATTGCCGAAGTGTCTAATTTCAAATACCAGGCCAAGGGGGCAAGCAACCTGCCAGCAGCTACCTAGAATGTGCCACAGCCTCCCCCGGCAATTCGTAATATATCTATTGTGTGTCTTGCGGACGTTACACGCGAGACGCCTATCGGGGTTGCAAGTTGCAACGGCGGCTAGCAACACGAGGTCGGGAGAGGGCTCTCAGAGTCCGGAGTACATCCGGGGCCAAGACGCGTTGGGGGCTGAGACCTGTGCTGGCCACAAGTCTCATTTCCTTGTTCGGCACTCAATTTCACTTACCAAATCAGATCAGAGCACTATTTAGCTATTGTTGGTGAACACATGCTGCTTCAACAACACCAACTACCCGCTGATTTTCGCCTTGACCTGCAGCGCCCCTCACTCATTCAATAAAGAAGAGAGATGGTAAATTGATGGGCGAGCCCTGTGGAGGATAGTGGAGGATAGTGGAGGATAGTGGAGAGTGAGGAGATGCTGTTGAGATTTTCAAAAGAAATCAACGCCTGGATGAACAACTTGCCCGCCCCCCTCCCATTTCACATGCTCGTTGCGGAAGAAAGATGACTACTTGTGCATCAATCAATCGTGGAAACATGCAGTATTTGCATTCTGCAATAAAACGAGCTTGGCGTCTGTAGAGCAGCTCCGGCATTGTCGGGTATTACATTCGGCGAGATGTTGCCGTGATAAGGTGCGACACGTTTTGCGGCCATATGTGTGTTGAGTTATGAATAGATAACCAGGCAGGCCCTGCACCCGCCGGAAATAGCATACACATCCAGATATCCCACCGGGAAGAGGGTCTTCGCTTTTCGCCTAGAACCTGGCCAGGCAGGCCAGCCCTACCCAGACCAGCCCCCATGGTGCTCCATGGCACAGCCTCCGCCATTTTGTCCAATATAGACAGGGCAGCAGTATCTCTGCGGATGGTACTAATAATGTCGTTTGCAAAGTTGGGAAGAGTTAAATTAGATCTACCCGGAGATTCGAGGGTCGAAACAAGACGATGCTTCCCGTCGCTTCTGCAAACGAATAGTGGGCGACAACCACTCCCCCAATTCTTGAAACCAAAAAAGGGCATCCAAGCCACACCACCAGATTTGCACATGCTCCCCCCTGTTCGCTGGTGCCCGCCCACTTCCACCCCTGTAAAGAACCCATATCCACTGGGCTTAGCTAGACTTCGGACCAGGCCGCCGCGAACTTTCTCTATTTAATTTTGGCCCTGGTTGATGAGAGGACCTGTAAGGAGGGCTGTATCCGAGTGGCGCCGGCGCGAAAGGGCGGAGCCGGCGACGAAAGCGGAAGCTGGAGGCCTATTTACTTATGAAGGCCAGTCGAAGGCACAAAAATAAAACATGGGAAAAAAAGAGTCTTTTCCTGTAGGATGCAAAAACGTATTATGAAAAACTCACTTGTTGATTCGGAATTCTCGTATCGTGGGCTCTACCCTTCAGTCGGCCTTTGTCAAGCACAAGCTTGTCACTGCTGCCAGGCATCATCCGTCCTGTACCAGTATGCGCATGTACTTCCGTACATGCAAAGGTGTCGCGATTCGTCTTCGTGGCGGGATTCGAATGCGGTTAATTGGCCGCCGCCATGTCTTATCGTCAGACTTGCCGGCTCTGTTGAGTTTCAAGATGGGGACAAAGATTCTGCAAGTTCCGTGCAAGTATGTACGGCTACAGGGCCGGATTTCTAGGCACCTTCAAGTGCCACAGATAAAGTGCATATCAAATATGCATAAAATGGCAAGAGAGATTATGCAGTGGTACGTGCTATTTATAACTCGGCCTTGAGGACCGTCAGCCAATCCTAGACGTCACTTGGCCGATGCATCGTAGATGACGACTAGTCCGTAATAATGAAACATACCCGGTACTAAGTTATAACAATTTGGTTGTCGACAGAATGGAAAACGGGCAAAAATTACAAATACAGAAAGAAAGACTGGCACACAGAAACAACACTTGCCATCGCCGGGCCGCCCTGGATGACAACTCCGGCATGGCGCAGTGGCCCAGTGGGTATTAATAAATTGCGTGTCGCCCCACGAACTACCATGATCCGCCAGCGATGACAGCAACTTGAACCACCTCACCCGGCAGGCAGGCGCCTCAGAGCCGTTTTCTCGCCTGCCGCGACCCCGGTCTCAATCCGAGGCGGGATGACGACGTGCATCTCTCTGCCTTGGGTCTCTACTTGGGTAATACGAGAGCGCAAGACGGATGGGATGGGCTGCACTATTGTGTCCACTGAC